TTACTTTAAGAATAAAATTCATGGAAATTATTCTTAAATAGACGTTAAGAAGATATTCTTAAATTTAGAGTTTCATTTTTTTGGTGTGATGAGGATTCTAATGAATAGAAACATGTTGTTCTTATATTCAACAATTAACATATATTTATATCATTTAAGGTCATGTAAAAATTATTAAATATAAAAACGGAAAACGAATGTAAAATTACTTATCATAAAATAATTATGATAATAATTTTTTACATTAGTTTTCCGTTTTTATTTTGTTACTTTTTTCATATGGCCTTAAACGATAATGAAATATAAATTTAAAACAACATGTTTCGATTTTCAAATGGAATCCTCATTAGGTCTATTTTTTAGAAGAGATATGCTGATCAAAAAGGTTTAATATTGACCTTAAAAATATCAAAATAAAAGGATGTATTTTTTTCAACGGCCTTATAGTGATGCGCCTTCACAAAAAATGCAATATCTCGAAAACTATTAAAGTCTCTATAGTTTTATTGGTGTTAAAATAAAGGTGAAATAATTACAATAAGGAATATTTTACTCTTTTTTTCACAAGAAACTCAAAAATCGGTCCCGTTTGAGTAAAAATGATTCAAAAAATTTTGTTGACTTTTTTTGGATCAAAATTCAAAATTTTTTTTTCAACTATATAACACTTCGAAAAGGTGTGTTTTAAACGATAACATATTAAAGTGTTATTGAGATCCGATTAATTGTTTCAGAAATATTAATGTTTAAAAAATAATTGTCAAAAAATTCAATATGGTGTAACTTTTACAATTTTGAAAAATTTCAAAAATCCTTCGGGACTTTCATTTCTTAAGGCGCTTGTATACCTCACCGATCCCGAGTTTACTTGCGTCGTGTACAATTGGAGTAAAAGAGACGGAAATATCTTTTGTCTCTTTTACTCCAATGGTATACACGACAGAAGTATACTCGGAATCATCGGGATCGGTGAGGTATACAAGCGCCTTTATATCCAATACTGCAATTTCACCAAATTACAGACGAATCCAAAGACCCCTTGCAAATCGTGAAATTTCTGACGCAGTCTTACCCAAAAGTGAAATAAGTTTACATATTATATATTTTAATTATAAATCCATACCGATTCCTTTATACCATGCTTTAAACATACTATAAGTGAGGTTACGAAACGTTCTTTCATCTACTTTTTATTTTATTTTAGTATACAGTTAATAATGAGTTTAATAAAATTTTACCTTCAAAAATGGAAATAAACTTTTTTAACTTACAAGCTGTTAAAGATGTTGTTTGTTTTATTTACATATTTAAGGTCAATATTAATTTTTTTGATCAGTATATCTCTTCTAAAAGATAAATCTGACGAGGATTTCATTTAAGAATCGAAAAATATTGTTTTTTTTCGTTTTATTATCGTTTAAGGCCATGTAAAGAGTAACAAAATAAAAATTGTTTTTATTTGTTTAAGTTCACTTGAAATTGAGATACAATTTTTAAGGGAAGACACCACCCCCAATTTTGAACCACTTAAATTTGAATTATAAAACGCGGTTATATTTTTTTTCTTGCATTATTTGGGCCCTAAAAACATATAAGGTGGTCACAAAAAGAAAATTTTAATTTTTGACCATTTTAGAATTTTTATTTTTAGAAAAAATTAATATTTTTGAAAATCCATGCGAGAGATTCTGAAGAATCATTAAAAAAGCGTTGAAAAAATTGGCGATAAACAATAGTCAAAACCGTGAAAGAAGATAGAGGTTTAAAATATTAATTTTTTTAAGACTTTAATTTCTAAAATGATCCAAAATTAAAATTTTATTTTTTTGACCATCCCGTTTGTTTTTAGGACCCAAATGATGCAAGAAAGAAAATATAACCTCGTTTAATAATTTAAATTTAAGTGTGTCAAAATTGGGGGTGGTGCCTTAACAGTACGAAGAAAAAAATATATTGTTACATTTTTGGCAAAACAAATTATTATGGTAGAATCAACAAATCTGATTTGTATTGGATTCTATATATGTTAACAATGGATTTTTCTTCGTGAGAAAATTAGGAGATTGAGGTACATATTTTAATAGATATCAAAAAGGAAACTCTGTATATATGTGTGTTAAGGGAACTAACATTCATATGACCGCTGAATATGCTGAATGATTTGAATAACGCGTTGAGATGGTGGTACGATAATGACGTTTTGGTGAAGCGTAAATGGAGTCTAATCTCTCAACTTTTATTGGGTCTACTTGGGGCGCAGATAGTACGGATTCGAGAACAAGACCGCCTTCTCAACGCGAAAGTCCTGAAAATTCCACTATTGATGATAGAAGAATCCAGGTTAATTCTATACGAGGTAGCATAATTTTTATAATATATAATGTAAATTTTTTTCAGTTAAATAAAATAAAAAACAACGAGAGTCTTTTAAGACCACAACGAAGCATATAAATTCAAGGTCTTAGTGTTGAATCCCAGCTACTCAAGTAAAAATTGTAAAACACATTTTCTGAATCTGAATTAGTAAAAATTTTAACTAATTTATTATAGTGATTTATTTTTTGCTTTTGAATTAGAAAACCTTAACTATAATAGTAAAAAAAAATTTTTTGTTACTATCGAATTAGAAAAATTTAACTAATTTAAAAGCAAAAAATGAATCACTAATTTAAATTAGTTAAAATTTTTACTAATTCAAATTTAGAGAGCAGGGGGGTTTTGGAAGGTTAAACTACCCCCCAGAGAGGTTTTAAACTTATATTTCGAAAATGTTTTAATCTTTATGATTAAATTTTTTTTCACTTGAATCACCCCTCAGATACAAATCCTGCGCAAAGGCCTGCTATGTAGTGAATGTCTTTGCCTGCAATCGTTATAGGGTGTTTTACTGTATAGTGGAAATATGTTAGATGTTAAGGCAGGGGTGTGTTTATTTGTGATGAAAATCCAAATGTACATTCACAACTCAACAGACAATATACCAGCAGTACTCGATCAGAGAATTTCTGTGTAGTTTTTCTCTTTCCTACGGCCAAAAAAGGCGCAAATGCGGGTATAAACAAAAAAATTTATATCGATTTCTCACCTTGAAAGTGAAGTCATTCTCAATTTAAATATAGAGAATTTGATCTCTAAAAATAATTTTCAGATCAGAAATTGGTTTGAAATTAAGGTTAAAATGTAATTAAAAATGTTAATTAAAAATTTTATACATACACGCAAAAAAAATCTTCGCCTGGAACAGCGATAAGTTTCTTTGGAATAGCAATATATGTGACCTGGACAGTTAAAAGGGACCTTTTGTCCGAAAAAATTAATTTTTTATTGATTGGTGATTCTGATAGAAAAAAGTTTTCTCTATCAGAATCACCAATCAATAAAAAATCGATTTTTTCGGACAAAAGGTCCCTTTTAACTGTCCAGGTCACATATTTCTCTAGAATAGCGAAAACATTCGCTGTTTTAGTGAAACATATCGCTGTTCTATAGATAAAGATTTTTTTGCATGTAGTTAATTCTATATACAGTGTAATAACACTCAGAAAAAAATTTGTTTAAAACAACCAAAAATTTATTTAGCTCAATCAAATTTTTTCTTCGTTCGAAAAATTTATTAAAATAAACCAAAGGTTTATTTAAATCTAATAAATATTTATTTGAATTAAACAAATTTTGTTTAAAACAATAAAAAAAATTCTGTTAATATATATATAAAAAAATAGTATATTTGGTTCAAACAAAACTTTTCTCTGAGTGTGTGGATGTCGAGCGATTATCGATCGATATAAATTCTCGTGAATGTCGAGCATCTCTTGTTAAAATAACAATTGAATTTTATAGTTTCATCTCATTTCTATGATATGAATGGAGACGAAAAGACAAATGAAATCTGTCTGCTCGACATCTATCACATACGTAACATAATAGTTCCTTAAACGGTTAGAATTTAGTGAGACAATCATATTTCACTGGAATTTTATACTGTTGTAAAAGAGTAATGTGCGTTTTATAGTGTGTTGAGCACGAAAAATCAATTTTTAATACTTTTGTTATATACATTTTTTTTGTTAATAAAATATATTTAATTTAAATATTGTTTGGTTCAAAGTTAATATATTTTGACTTTTATTATATTCTTATGAAATATAATAAATTTAAATGAAAAATAATTCATGTATTTTGCATACACGGATAAAAATACAGTAAATTTAATACACACAGAATAAACTTTAACTTAAAATAATCTCCGAACGATGCATGAAATATAGTTTTTTAGGTTAAGAATCATGTCAAAATCTTGTGAACAATAAATATATAAAATAATCTGAAGAACATTTGAATTATGACACTTTGCACACTGATAGAAATAACTGCTTAATACTGACAGAATTATTTGTACGCTTATCATACAAAATGATTGGAATAGATACAGACATATACGTGATGGCTATTTTATCCAAAAATGAAAAATCTAAACATAACAAAAGAGCAATGCGAATATAACTGATGGTTAAAAAGGCCTGCTCATCATTGTGAATTAACCTTATACACTTTGACATTATTTTCGTGGCAAAATCTACCAACTTGTTTCTATCAGTGCAGGGAATGGTAGCTTTTTTCGATACTTGGCGGGAACCAGAATCGAGAAAAGCAGGGTGGGGCAGGCGTGAAAAATATAAACATATGGCATATTTCGGACGTTCTACTGGATTTTCAGTGGAAATTTACATGCGTCCATTGTGAACATCCCCTTAAGTTTAAATCAAATAAATAATATTGTTTTCAATGAAAGTGCCAGATATTTTCCGTATATTAAAATAAAACTTACAAACTATTTTAAAAAAACAAAATCGTACCAACAGAAATATTTAAATTAAAAATTCTTTTTTTTGAGCACATATTGTTGAATTTATAATTGTATCAACAATTTTTTTGTTGATATATTTAGATACTATGTTATTATTATATATAATACTAAAATATTGTAATTTTGATTGCAGCCCAGATCGAAATAATACCCTGCAAGGTTTGCGGCGACAAAAGCAGCGGGGTACATTACGGAGTGATCACTTGCGAAGGATGCAAAGGATTTTTCAGGCGATCTCAATCGTCAGTTGTCAACTACCAATGTCCGAGGAACAAAAATTGTGTTGTAGACCGTGTTAACAGAAACCGCTGCCAGTACTGTCGGCTTCAAAAGTGCCTGCGACTCGGCATGTCCCGAGATGGTAAGTCTCTTGTCATTTTTAAATAAATTTAACTATTTATACTTAAATACTATTCAACATTTTCTATATTACCAAAATATTTTTATTTCGGTATCACATGAGGAAAAAGGGATTATAAAAATTACCTTGAGGAGTGTAAAACCATTTTTAGTTTTTAAATATGCAAGATAAAAATCCTAACTTTCGAATAATTTTTATGTAATTAAAAAACTTCAAAAAAAATTTAACAAAAATTCTTAAACATTCTTTTTAAAGTGAAAAATTATTAAAATATTAAAAAATATATACATAATATAAATGCTCCTCTGGAAAGTAAAACCACACATAAAATTCTTCCATCCGTTTGGGTTGGCCTCTAATAGTTAAAAAATCGATGATGAAAAAAAAATTTTAATGATCACTATACCTTATTGGAAATTTGATGCTGCATCTTTTTTCTTCTATCCAAAAAATCCATTTAAACGTTTAGCAAATATATAAGTAAAAAAAACTATTTTCTGTCAAAAGTGCAATGTGTATCATATTTGACGCGAAAAATTTAATAATCTTTTCAATGATTTTTGTTTTAACTTTTTAATTAATATAATAACTGAGCTGTCATGATTTAACGACAGGTGTATTTTTGGATAGTATATATAAATACGGCTATTAACTGTACTAAAAATTTCCAACGGTACTGTACATATAATGAAGTAATCGAAAAATGTCAAAACTAAAAGTTGCATAAAAAGATAAATGAATGATGAAAAAAAGTGGGTTATATACAGTGTCGGTCTTTCTTCTATAATTTCATTTTATTATTTAAAAAAATTCTTTAAAAATGCAACAAGAGTGAAGAAAAATTGATTAAAAAAAGTAAATTTAAAAAAAATGATTGTGAAATGAATTTTTTGAAATTTTATATACGTTTGAATTTTTTTTAATGATGACAAAAGTTAAATTTTTACATATATATTCAATATTTATCGAAAAGAACTTTTTGGGCAATTTTAATAAATGATTTATTAACACGACAGTTGCAAATTATTTAATTTTTTCTATAGCAAATATATATGTCTGTCTTTTTTAAAAAGTGGAATTATTAATTTTTGGGTATAACTTATTCTTGACTTTCTACTGACGTATAAATATCTGAAACTTAAAGAATATGATAATTATACTATGATCGGAGGTACGTAATAAGTGTGTATTGTAAACATATACGAAATTTTTAAGTTCAAAACGTATGGAGCAATAATATCAGTGGCACGCGTAATAAGCGGGGTGTACGACCCCTTATCAGTCAATTCCCTTCCCGCTCCTGTTCATATTCTTATCAAAGTGAGTTATATTATTTCACGTATATACATATCGTATAAAAGTGAAAGTATATACAAAATTATTTGTAAGAAATTGTAAATCTTTAAAAAGAGATTTCATTTTTTAATCCTCGTCGAGAAGAAATGAAGCCACTCTATATAGCCAATAAGAAAATTTTCAGACTTGAATTTGCAATCATATCGCGTCTTAGTTTTGTTTAGTATTTGAAAAAGATAAGAATATCATTCTATTTTCTATAATAATCAAATTAATATAATCGACATAATGCGTATGTCTATTAATAATGTAAAATAACGTTTATACTTGTCAATAAAATAGAATTATTACAATTCAATGCAAAATCAGCGTATAATGAAGTGAAATCTTTGAGCTTCCATATGTAAATCTTTTTAATCTAATAAGATTAGTTATTTATAATAATTATTGACAGCTACATGAAAAATGTATAACTCTTTAAATTAAAGTAAAATGTTTACTAATTCAAATTGATGAAAATGTTTACTATTAATTATATATTCATAGTTTCTGTTTCGGACGAACTTCCAACTATTACATCTTACATATTTAAAATAAACATACATACAATACATATTTAAATAAAATATAATCTTGTTTTTAAATCAAATTAAAATAAAATTTTTACTAATAATTAATTGATGATTTTGTGATTCAAAAAGTATAATAAAGATAGTGTGATGTTTGTGACTTTACTATCTGATTCTATAGCCACAAACATCATATTTTATTAAAAATTAGTATAAATTTTTTACTAGTTTGAATTAGGGCTAGTTTCACCAAATCTGATTAAGAGTTAATCAGTAATTAAAGACCTAACCGACCAACCATGAGCAGTTGAATTGGTCGGTTAGGTATATTTAATCGCACTGATTAACTCTTAATCGGAGTTGGTGAAACTGACCCTTAATGGACGATTTTTCGCTGATTTAAATTTACACAGAAAAAAAAAATTTTTTTTTTAACTTCAAATAATGGGTTACTTGGCTATTATAATAATTTTTATTTAAATCAAATGAACGGGGAGCATGACTATCCCATAAAAATCATTAGTTAGAATTTTCATTTTTAACAATTTTATTAGATACAATTATTTTTTAGACAAATATTCGTTTTTCAAATTAACATTTGTCGGAATTTCTTTTTTAAAGAATTTTTAATTAACAGAATTTTTATTTGGTAGAATTCTTAAAACGACAAATTTTTATTTGTCTGAAATTGCAAATGGTCAACAAACAATCGACAGAAAGATTTCGGCGCGATTTTTAAATTCCACTAATCACGATTTTCTTGATAACTTTTGATTGGTGAATTTTAAACGTCGCGTCAAAATCTTTCTGTCGATTGTTTGTTCGGACATTTGCAATTTCGGACAAATAAAAATTCGGCATTTTAAGAATTCTGTACAATGAAAATTCGATACATAAGAATTCTGTTAAGTTCAAGGTTGTTTAAAAAAAAAATTCTGTCAAATGTTAATTCGGAAAATAAAAATTCGTCTAAAAAATAAATATATCTAATAAAATTCTTTAAAATGAAAATTTTAACTAATTATTTTTATAGGATAATCATGCGCCCCACAAATAAATAACTGTCGCGCTCCAAAAAAAAGGTACCTAAGAAACAAAAAAATGTTAGGTTATGTTTTGAAGTGAAAATACAAAAACCTCTCAATACAAATTATTAATGTTTAAGTCTTCGTTATATTCAACAAGAAAAACTTATTTTGATTTCATATAAATTAAAAGGAAATTTTCATCAAGGTAAAACTGTCATAAACATAACCTATAATTCATTTGCTTCTAAGATACTTTTCTTCGGAGCGCGACAAATATTTATTTGATAAATAAAATAATTTTAAAAAAATCAAATTTTTCTAAGAAAGAAAAATGTTTGACAAGGAGATTTTTTCCTTGTTTACGAAACAAAATTAGTTTAATATTTTTCGGATATTAAATTCAATGAAAGAATTTATTTTTGGCTTTTTATTGTTTTTTGAAAAAAAAAAAAACTGTAATTGTGCTCATAATGATATTATCTTGAGGGTAGATGTAAGCGTTATGATATTTCTGTCGTTAGTGTCGATCTATTTTTATAATCGGCTCATTCTAAAATGTGAATAGGTAGTTCAACCAGTCGCAGTCTATACACAAATACACACGCATTTAGTGATAAGGAGTCGCGACTGTATAGTGCTACCGCGGCGCTATATATAGCGCCAGAAAATGCATCGTGCGGCCAACACGCGTGTTCTTCCTGATGGTGTCTCACTCACTTTATCTCCGTCTCTTGTCCCGGTCGATCACCTTTTGCCTCCTCTTCTATATTTCTCTTATATCTTCTTCTTCGTCTTCTCCCTCATCATTTCAAGTTTCCCCACTTTTTTTTGTCCCATCCACCCATTTCCCTTCATGTCAACTGTGTACTCTTATCCCCTCCTCTCCAACCCTCTCACAGTTCAGTTGCTCTGACGTCACGTTACTAATTCTTCATTCTTCTTTGCCCCGATGATCATCCAAGTGCTGCACCATAGCTTCTCAGCGTGTGTAAACATGTTGCTGTATACAACACACATGTAGAAATTTTCTTCTGTGTGCGTCTATATACACATATGTACTACAGTTTGTAGCGGTTATGTGTGACGCATTTGCGTCGCCTTATGACGTCACTTCGTATACAAGTCAGTTGGTTCCGCGTTCTTCTTCTGCGCATGCGCCTGTATCCACTGATGGTCTTTAAATGTTCTATCCGCATATATTGGTGATTGACCTCAAATCAATACAATCTGTTACATAGATCTTAAATCACCAACTTTTATATATATATATCAAAATTTCTGTCATGACTACTTAAATTATTATATTCTTTTATCAGTATAATATGTATTCTGGCAATTATAAAGTAATTTTACTAAAACTTATTTACTCACCTCTTATATACTTATAAAAATACTTATCAATTTATTTGTACAATTATAAACAGATTAAACATGTGTGAGATATTTAAAATAATATTCATATTTTTACAGACAAATGCATAGAAAATTATTTATTTTTATATAATTTTTTGTAAGACTAATTAAATTCTATTTATATCTAATAAATTCATTGAATATTATTGTACAAAAAAATATCTGACGTGCAAAACTGAAATACCGTAACTTGTATTTTTAGGTTATGTTTCCCATTCCCAAGTAACACGTAATATTAAAATGTCCGCCTCATGGTAATATTACAGTAACATTACAGTAATAATAATAATAACAAAAAATTAGAAAGAACACTAAATGCCTGCATCCGATTTGTTTACAACTTACCTAAAACTGAGCATATTACGCAACATAGAATTAAGTCGGGATTATTGAATGTGGCTACTAGAAGACAATTTTTTATAGGTAATTTGTCATTAATAGCAAGACTCCATTATGGCGCACTCACACCTTTTTTGGCTGCCTGCCTACCTGCAGGTTACCATGGCAACGCACGAGTGTGAGTGAGACAGAAAATTTGAATATTCAAATTTTTAAATTTTCTGTCGCACTCACTCTCATGCGTTGCCATGGTAACCTGCAGGCAGCCAAAAAGGTGTGAGAGCGCCTTTATATCTACTTAACTTTTTTGATTTTAAAAATACTGATCAATTAAATTATGCGAGACTCCGAGAAAGAAGAAATATCCTAATTATATTTCACAAAACTTGTAAAATGCAAAGGTTGTTCATTGTCAGAGGTGCTAGACTTTGGAACAAACTTCCAAAAACTGTTAGAGATTCATCTACCTAATTAGTTTATATTTAAAAGATTATTTTTCTATTTTTTGTTTAAGAAAAGTAATAGATTTTTTGATATTACTTATACAACTGTTTATTAATATTCTTACTTTCTGTTTATTTTACAATTATTAATTGATTACTTTTTCTTTTAAAAAACTTCATATACAATTTTCTTTTGTTATTTTTTATTTACTATTATTGTTGTTTTTCTTTACCTTTTATTATGGGGTTTTTTTATACCATGGTTTATTAGTTCATAAGTTCGAAATTTCTACCAATAAGTTATAAAATTATATAATTTTTTATACAATTCTATGTATTAGTTCCTTAGTGGGCTTTAAGCCTTAGGGACTTGATCTCATTAAATAAAATTAAATAAAAAATATTACTGTAATATTACATGCTACTTGGGTTATGTTTCTTCTCTTTTAATATCTAAATTTTTTTTAAGAAGAAACATAACCTAAAAAAACAAGTTACGGTATTTAAATTTTACACAGCAGATATATGATGTGACGCGTTCTTGAGAAAGGAAAGAAGCAAAAAATTATAGGTTATGTTTATGATAGTTTGAAATAAAAATACTCTCAGAGAATCAACTCTCGATACAAATGTTTAAGTCTTCATTACATCGAAAATAAAAATTGATTTTTATTTTACATAATTAAAAAGAAATTGTTAATCAGGGTAAAACTATCCTAACCTATAATTTGTTGCTTCTTAGGTCCCTTTTCTTCAGAGCGCGTCACATATTGCAGAAGTTAATTTATTTTTACTAACGTAATTGAATTTTTTCAGCTGTAAAATTCGGTCGAATGTCGAAAAAACAAAGGGAGAAAGTCGAAGATGAAGTCAGATTTCATAGAGCGCAGATGAGAGCAGCATCTGAAACTGCGCCCGATAGTAGTGTATTTGAACATCAAACACCAAGCAGCTCGGATCAACATCACTCCTATAATGGCGGGTCAGTAAATTTTAAAATCATTGAATACATCTATATATGTGAAAATGTGATTGCTAATATAATTTTATTTTCTTCAGTTATCCTTACGGGAGCAGTGAATACACCTCGTCTGGTCCTGGCACTGGAAATTCAGGATACTACAGTCATGGGGCTATTACTAATTATGAGCTTAGTGCAGACTATGTCGACAGTACGACGGCCTATGATCCTCGACCGACACCGACTCAAGTCGACACAGTCACACCTGATACACCTTCCGTCAATGCCTCGGGTGTAATTCCCAGTGTGGTAGCCTCAGGTGAGTTCCAAAGCAACTTGATAATATATCAAGTTGGTGTGGTTGACTTTAAGTTTAAACAAGTTTGTTTCATTATTTTTTTCATATATTTACACAGAAAAGTGGTTTACTTCTTGAAACCACAATATTAATAACAAATTTGATTTAACATTTTTTATAGACAGTTCGATAAATGAAGAATGCAAACTTAACTGTAATGTCAAAAACGACAAAAATTGACAAATGCATTTCAAAATATCCACATAGCAATGAGAATTTCCAAAAGATTTCCATAAATTTTGAATTATTGAATGTGATGATCAGAAAATGTTTTGTAAATTATGAAAATGAAAAAATTCGTATAAGAAATTGCTATTCTAAGTTAAAAAACTTTTTACATTTCAAAGTATAATAATTTAACTAACAGGATCAATTTTCGTTTTGTTTTCAAATTAGTAATACGTTTGTTGAAAAATTATTAAAAACAAAACGAAAATTGTTTCTCTTAGTTAAATTAATATATTTTAAAATGTAGAAAGTTTTTTAAATTAGAATAAAAATTATTGAACAAAAAATTAGTAAATATGTGCCTATTTTTCGCATTCTGAAACGAACGTCTGCCTTAAGGAGAGGAACCAATGAAATTTTAATTTATCGAATTTTAGAATTTTTAAAAATTTCAATTTTTTCAAAACATATATTTTTAAAAAATGAAAAATAAATTGAGTCAGTTCGTGTAAAAATTTCTGCTGTTCTTGCATCAGCTGCTTCAATTTTAAAATGGTAAAAATTAATTTTTTTCAATTTTTCATGATGAAATATGGTTTTTAATTCTAAAAACTGACAAAAATAATTTGAAATCTCTAATCAATGTAAATTTTGATTGATTGAAATTGAACTGGTGATTTTTCATTTTTTCATTACTAAAATTCCGCAATTGTGAAAAATAATTTTTTAAAAAATTTTTAATAAATAGAATCATTTTAAATTCTAGATAATCTATAAAAAAAATTAGTGCTTGTTAAGAACGAAAATTTCGATGAATTACAATTATACTGTTCCCTCCCTTTAAACATGAATAAGTGTTCATTTCGCAATGAGTACTTATATGGAAATGTTCAGAAAATTCTTGGTGCTGTGTGAGTTTATTACCATCCGAACCATGACATATTAACTTTTTTCAATATTACAAATTTTTTCCAATTTAGGTACTTTTTTCGATTAGTCAAATTAATAACGTACATAAGAACAAACATGATAAAAAAATTTTGTTTAAACTGTAGCATTAATATTAAATTAACATTTCATTTTTTCTGAAGAAACTTTTTGAAAAGTTAATTTTTGAAATAATTAATTAATTTCACAATTTTATATCAATACTCAAATCTTTTTTTAAGATTTTCAAAATCCACGTGGAAAAATTTTCGAGAAATTACAATTGGAAAATCAAAAAGAATTCCGATTAAAATTCCAATAAATTTTTGTTTGCCAATAAAGAAAATTATATTTTAACATTTTAATACAAATAAATATAAACACATTTAAGGAAACAATTTATAAGAACTATTCAGCAAAAATTCTAAAGAATATTTCCAAGAAGAAAATAGTTTGTGAAAATAACAAAAAATTAAAAAGTAATTTTTTCAATATTTGAAAAAAAAATTTCTGAATTTCTATTCAAATTCTGCGATGGATTTTTTAACAGGAATTTTGCGATTTAATATTATTATGAGAATTTTTCCACTTAGAATTTGATTTGTACGTAAATAAAATACTTTCTATGTAATACAAAATTAAATATTTAATTTATTTTTTTTTATTAATAAAGTGTATAATGCCAGATGAAAATAAAGAGCTTTAGTAAATTACAAGCAACACTGATACTTATGTATCTTTTTTACATTGGACTGCAAAATATTAAATCAAAGAATAAAATATTAAGGACATGCTTAAACTTTAAATTTTAAGGGAGAAAAAGTAGCATTACTTTAATTTTGATTTAAATTTTAAATTGCTAGATGCTAAAAATCACGTTAAGTGCTCCCCTCCTTTTTCCTGGTCTGTTTGACCGGAAAACGAAATTCGTACATATAAGAGCTTTTTAATTATATATGTGACGCTCCATGAGAAAAGGGATAGGCAAAAAATTTTACTTTTAGTTCAATTTGATTAAACGTTCATTTTAAATTATGTAAAATAAAAATATGTTTTTAATTGAATATTTTGAATCTAATGAAGACTAACATTTTTATTAATAGTTGATTTATTTTCACTTCAAAAGTCACGAACATAACCTAAAATTTTTTGCAACTAAGGTCCCTTTCACCATACAGCGCTATATAATGTTTGGAAGACAGTTGTATCAGTTTAAAGGTTAAGTGATGGATAAATTAGTAATTATTTATAATGACTATAATCATGCAAGCTCTCATTTGGTAGATTTGAAAGCTGTTTCATTAGCTATAGTGAGAATAATTTTTTACTGTATTTTTTTTAATAATAATAGGAAAATCCTTATCAACTTCGACAACCGGAAGTGGTGCAGGAAGTGGTGGTGGCAATGGCAGTAGCAGCGTTGGAAACAGTGGAGGAGGTGGTAATGGAGGGGGTAACGGTGGTGGGGGTGGCGGTAGCGTTAGTGGTGCAGGTGGTGGTTCTTTAAGCGGTGGAGGAATTGTGGCTGTCAAACAAGAATCCACTGTCGAACTAGCCAGCCTTGGTCATGGTTCCTATACAGCGGTCGACTCAACAACATTTCTCAGCAGTCAACAACAGAGAGTCAACAATCCAGAGGATGATGAAGATCCCAGTCAGCCCTGTATGTCCCATGCGAGATGTGAGGCTATGTCTGTGTCCATTTGCATGAGCATGTCTGACTTAAATAGCCTATTTCCACTTGTCTTCTACCCTTGACGTCAAGCCTTTTATAAATCTGCAATTCAATATGATTTCAATTCAGGGGTCTCTGTATACTTTTTTTTATCAACAAATTCGTATATTTGTCTCATAAAAAATCATTCATTAGAATTTTATTAAAAATAATTATTTTTTGACAAATTTTCATTTTTCGAATTAGTATTTGACGGAATTTCTTTTTATACAAATTTTTACTTAATTTTTATTTGAACGAATTTATAAAACGCCGAATTTTCATTTGTCCGAAATTACAAATTGACCGAACAAACAATCGACAGAAGGATTTAGGCGCAATTTTTAAAATTGACCAATCACGAATTTTTTAATAATTTCTAATTGGTAAATTTTAAAAATTGTGCCGAAATCTTTCTGTCGATTGTTTGTTTGGTCAATTTGTAATTTTCGGACAAATGAAAATTCTGCGTTTTATAAATTCCTACAATTAAAAATTCAGACAAATTAAAATTCCGTGAATTGGAATTTCTGTCATTTAAAAATTCGAATAACATAAAATTCGATTGAATGAAAATTCCGTTAAATTAAAATTTGATTAAATTAAATTCTTAAATAAAAAGACATGTAAATTAAATGACAAAAAAATTAAAATTATACCAAACAAACGTTTGGTAGCTACAAATTTTGTCAAGTAAAAATTCGTATAAAAAGAAATTCTGTCAAATGCTAATTCGAAAAATTAACATTCTTTTAAAAAATAATTATTTTTAAATTCTAATTAATGATTTTTATAGGAAATTCATGCGCCCAATATATTTATTATTATTTTGGCACATTTTTTTAATTGCTTTAAAAAAATTTTTATTTAGAATTTCCTAAAAAGATAGGATCATAATATTTATTATGTTCGAGAAATTTTACTTTATAGACCCTTAATGTTTGCATTTTTTTTATGTTACGAGTGTAATATATGTGTGTGTGTGTGATCTTTCGATGCAATGTTTTTGAAGCTTTCGCACATCGATGACAAAAATTTCTCTTTGCATGAATATTCGTAAAAAAGTAACATCATCATTACTGTATATATTTATATATCAGTGTATTTCGCGATTTTCTATGCTCTATTAGTTAATAATAATAATGTGGAAAATATAATTATTTGTTTCTTTTAATTTTTACAGATCCATCCCAAATCAGTGAATTGCTCTCAAAAACAATATCAGATGCACACGCGAGAACTTGTTTCCATACTACTGAACAAATTCAGGAAGCCTTTCGCAAACCTCACGATATCACCAGGTTACTCTACTATAAAAATATGGCCCATGAGGAACTTTGGCTTGAAAGTGCTCAGAAATTAACAACAGTTATTCAGCAAATTATCGAGTTTGCTAAGATGGTGCCAGGTTTTATGAAACTCTCGCAGGATGATCAAATTGTCCTTCTTAAAGCTGGTAAATTTATATTCGAATTTAAAATTTTTATATTTATTTTTAGAAGAAAAAAAACGGTATACTTATAGATTATTTATTTTCCAGGTTCATTTGAATTGGCCGTGTTACGTATGAGTAGGTATTTTGATCTGCAACAAAATTGCGTTCTCTACGGTGATGCCTTGCTGACTCAAGACGCGTTCTATACTAATGATACAACAGAGATTAAGTTAGTTTCTCACGTTTTCGAAGTTGCGAGAAGTGTGGCTGAATTAAAACTCACTGAATCAGAACTTGCGCTCTATAGTGCTGCCGTTTTACTTAGTCCTGGTAAGTGTATTTTTCAAAAATAGATGAATGGGTCAACCCAACTGTACGCAACTCAGAAAAAAAGAAGAATATCTTCTATTAACAAAATGAGTTATTTATTAATTAAAATCAGGTGAAATGGTTTTGATGGATTTTTAATGATCTAGGGCTTGAAAAATTCGTACATTCCTATACTTTCGAATGCCGAGTGGCGTTTTTCAAAATTTTAAATTGCGATTCCAATATGGCGCATAAATGACAATAAGTTCGGAAATTTCAAAATAAATTCGTGCATTAAAAGTTTGAAAGAATTCCATTTAATCTAAAACCCCTCATACAACAGTTTTTGGGATCGATGAATGCAAATCTGATGTTAGTTATAAATTTCAAATAAGTTTTTTTAAAGACTAGTTTTACTATATGAAAGTTTCGTTTTTGACTTAAAAATACTTTTATTAAATTTGAAAGTACTGTTATGAAATTTGGTATTTATTTTTTTCCGTGTATTAAATCTTCTTAATTGTAGTCCATGTGTATTCTAACGATTTCTCTCAATAACAACGGGTTGTCAGGCTACAGGGGCTCGAAATTTAAACTCTCATTATTTCATAATTTCTATACAACTTATCTAAACTTTTATTATTCTTATAGAAAGGTTTCTTTTTCTACTTTAAAAATATAAAATACAAAGTTTTCAATTTTTTTAAAGCGTTTTTTCTTCAAATTTAAGAAAAAAAACAAATTTAAATTTAGCGATTTAGTAAACCCCAAACTAACAAGTTTCAAGTGAATGAGATCGGTTTTTAAAAAAATTCGTCCACCATATTAGTTTCGCCATTTTGATTTTTGTAATCAAGTTATAATTGTTATCCGACTCAGAAAACCTTCAAATATTAATTTTTTGTGGTTTTATACATTTAAAAATGTTTTTGCTCATTGTTATAAACAAAATTGAACAATTCAAAAATGTTGAATTTTATGCTAATTATTAAATATAAATAAAAGTTCTGAATTTCCAACCAATTGGATAAAATCGTTTTGATGGTTGAATGCAGACTCAATAGGACTATAATTAAAGCCTGATTCGGAAATTTTTTTCTTTTTCATTTGAGATTGGTACAGTTGAAGAATTTTGCCCAGCAAATATAAATTTACTATGTATATTAAAAAAACTATGCCTTTTGCAATCGTTTATAATTAATTATCGACTAATTCATTGTCAGATCGATCGGGATTAAAAGGATCAGGAGAGATCACGAGGCTTTATCAGGCTGTGATCAGATCATTAAGGACCGAATTAGACAGAAATCACGTGTCGCCAATTAAAGGTGACGTCACAGTGTGTGACGCAATGCTCGCGAAAATACCCCAACTACGAGAAATCTCGAGTATGCACATGGAAGCCTTAGCAAAATTTAAACGGTCGCAACCTCAACTTGAGTTTCCGGCCCTTCACAAAGAGCTGTTTAGCAGTGACAGCTGAACAAATGATGAAGCAGTGCAGGGTAACCCAACGCTGACAGACAACGTTGAATGCAAGTGATCTGGGGCCTTGCTCTGTCAAGGTATATTTTTTATATTTTTACCTCTTTCAATATTTTATTGGGGCGCATGATTACTGCATACAAATAATTAATTATAATTTTCAATTTAAAGAATTTTATTATATAAAAATTTATTATTATTTAGACGAATTTTCATTTTCCTAATTAGCCTCTAATAGAATTTCTAATTAAACCAAGTTTTACTTAAAAAATTTTTAGGTACCGAACTTTTATTTTGGCAGAATTTTTATTATATAGAATTTCTTTTTACCCAACTTTTTATATAAAAGAATTCTAATTTAACCAAATTTTAATTTAGCATAATTCTTATTCAACAAAATTTTAAGTGATACGAATTTTTAAATATCAAAATTTCTAATTCACTGCAACTTCAATTGTTCAAATTTTTATTTGCAAGGAGTTTTAGATAACTTTTTTTTATAAATAACAATTATATCGATTTAATAGAAATAATTTAATATTGAAAGAGTTGCAATTAAAAATTTTGACTTTTTCTATTTTTGAAAGATTTTAAATTAAACATTTCAAAAATAATTCAATTATCGAAGAATTTATTCAAAATTATGAAATAATTAAGTTTTTTTAAATAATAAAAATAATTTAAATTATATTTTTGAAAATCTTTGAAATTTCGAATAAAAAATAACTATTGTAACTATGTAATTGAAATTTCGTAAAATTTGATCAAAAGTTTTGAAAATAATTAATTTTTAAAAAAGAATTTCATTAAAACTTTTGAAAATATGTAATTAAATTTTTTTTTAATTTGAATTGTTCTTTATATAATATATGTTTAACATATTTTTCATTTGATCGAATTTTCATTCACACATAATTTTTTTTTCTTAATAGAATTTACATTTGATAAAAGAGAACAAAATGCAAAAACGTAAAGGAAAAACACAAAATATTGTCTAGAAGTCAGGGAAGTTATAATGAGAATTTTGTTGCAACCCTGCACGGAGAGAAAAAATAAGCGTTTGTAGCATGAAAGTTCTACCTTTAAACGCATGGGACATCAGCATACAACGATTGCACGAAGTTATGCTTTTTCGGTATACAAAATACAACATATACAAAATTAACATAGAGGGCTCCCATATTACAAACCCTTGATTTTTCTCTCCGTGTGGTGAAGTAAAAAATTTTTTTTTAAATGAATTTTTCCAAATGCTCATTCGAAAAATGAAAATTTATCAAAAAAATTATTGTATGTAATAGAATTCTTTAAAATGAAAATTGTAACTAATGATTTTATGGGATCCCATTTTATTGATAATTATTATTTCAGTATTGAAATTTATATTTTGTTTCCTCTTTTTCAGATTATTTTCTTCGTAATGAACATATTGGGCCTTAATTAAACATAATATTGTTATATATATATATAGAATATATAAGAGCAATATAAAAAATATATATATACATATATATAAATATACATACTATATGTAAGAGAGATGTATTATATACATATATACATATATATGTGTATTAAAAATACTATATATATATATGTATATATATATTTACATATATATAAATGCGAGCTATTGGTTGTTATGATAGATTCATAAAGATTATATTATTGACTAATATGTTTATAAAGCTGGCTAGGTCGGTTTTAGAATGATAAAATTATTAGGCTCTAACCGAGAAACCTGATTTGATCAGTAAAATTACAATAATAGCCAAATACTACATTACGAGTAGTTGAACAAGACCACAATAATTATGATTAAATTTGATGTTATTATTTTAATTTTCAATTTGGAAAAAATGCGCACTAATTTTTGTGGTACAAAAAAAACTGTGTAATCAGGTTTCTTCAGTTGTATGTATATGTTGTCCTAGAACCGTTCTCGCCAATACTGAATACATACAAGTAGTTAGTTTTAATTAAAAAGTTTTGGTTAACGCACTTTAATGATGCGCTTCATAATACGTAAATATTACTTCCTGCGAGTCCCAATTTTACACCTCGATTCGTTTTCTGTGCGTACACTATAAATTTTATTTAATGAAAATTCTTTGTGAATTTTTTCTTGACGCAAAAAGGAAAAAAAAATGTAAAAAAAAAATCGCAAGCAATTTCGACATAAGATATTAATAGAATAAATTAGCAATCGCTATATTATATTACAGAATATTGTGCAATATACCTACAATATGTATACGTAAAATACATAATAACAAAACATTAAGGAAAAAGTAAAACTTTAAGCTTATGTGTTTTTTTTTTGAGGTAAAAGTTTATATGGTTGTGAAGAAAAATTATTTTCTCTCGACATTTTATCGCTGTGATTTTTTTTTATTAATATTGAAATTATTTCATTGAATGACGACATTTCGTACTAGACGAATAATTATATCGAAAATTGTTATTTTGTAGCCAGAAAACGAGTTGCAATATTATACAAAACGACTGTATTTGTATAAATTAGAATTACGCAAACGTTCTTGTTCTAATAAATTGCGAATGAAAATAATAATCGATATAAAGATTGGAAGTAATGTTTGCATTTGCGATGCGTACAAAACAACTAGTTAGGGAGTATCGATATGTAGGTAGAAGTGCGAGTTAACAAAAAAAGAAAAAGAAAAAAAAAGAAAGAGACGAAGTGAATATTATTATCTTATTGATTAACGATTAAATAGAGTTCATTTACCTGTAGAAAACACAAATTCATCATACACAAACGGAGTATGATAAAAAACCCACGTTGCAACTAGGAGTTATTATCGCAATTTGCAGTTAAATTTTATAATATATATGTACATACATACATATACATATCTATGGATATATAAATGAATAAATATGTATATGCGTGTATTAACAAAATAAACGAAAGTTGACGGATAATATACAGTTATAATTGCTTGAGGTAACCATTTTCGAAGAATGTGTGATACATCCATGTCTTTTTTATACTTGCCCGCTTTTCTTATATAAAATAAAGATGAAAAAAATAATAAAAGAAAAACAATTGCCTTTTGCAGTCTCTTCCTTATCATTCTTTCAAATCGAATCACTATAATTACTGAGTCATCGAAGATGGTCATCTCTTGCGCAGGATATATAATATAAGTACGCATATTGGTAAATCGTTATAATGATATTGTTGCGGCCCTCGCGATGGTCCCTGGGCGCTCATCAAAAAGTAGACGATTTTATTCAGTTTGGCTGATATTCAATTTTAAATTACGAATCACTGAAAAGGACCTTTTGGCAATCGGACCAATGAACAAATTCGTTCGAATAAATTTAAGTGAGTAATTTTATCTCGTGATTCCATCGACAAATTTTAGCGAATTGCGAGAAGTAATTATTAATACGATTAGACAAATTTTGGTATGTGAAGACTAATAACTCTTTTTTTTATTATGAAAAAATTTAATTTTTATCATGTATATCACATTTAGACTTTAAATAATCTCGTTTATATATAAATATAAATATATTTAAATCATTTAAAATTCAAATTAAATTTTTATCTTGGATAAAAGACTTATAATAATATAAATTAAAGTTACAGACTTAAAAAAAATTGGATAAGGCATAGTGTGAAAAAAAAATTGTCATTGAGATAAATAAAAATAATTATTGTTTAAATTATAACGTAAAACAAAAATCTTTTACCTGCAAATGCTATTTAAAAGTTTAATAAATAAAAAAAAAAAAAGTTTTGTAAATATTCTGTAAAGTCACTATTATTGTAGTAATGTCTTTTAACATTGATGTTTTAAAATATTTCTTACATTTTATATGACTTGCTATTTTAGAATAATTGTTTGAATTTTACAAGAAGCAATTTTTTTCAGCGCGAAATATCTATTTCCTAGTGATACAAAGACATTGTTTTGTGATTTATAAGCAAATCGCTTTACGAGTATGAATCCGAACCTGGAAAAATAAAAAAATGACAAAACAAAAGTTTCGCTTTGCCAGCGTTGATCGTGGCACAGGTATAAGTATTCAGAGGCACTTATTTATATATATATACATAAATATGTATATATTTATCACACGTATAAATGATATACATATATATGTGTATACACCACATATACATACATGTACACTTACAATTAATATTACGTTAATACAGTACCTGTGGTTGTTGTAAAATATTTAAGAAAAGGAGAAGAGAACGTGAACAAGAAAAGTATGAAAATTTCATTTAATTTATTGCGCGCGCTTTAAGGTGGAGATTTTTAGATTGAAAGTGAGACTTTTGTTTTACCGTGTAAGTATGGTGCGTGCGAAAGTTCAGGAGGCTTCAAATGATAAAATGAGAATATCCTCTTGTACTTCAATGTAATAGTAAAATTAATTAATTACTTAATGTAAGTTAACGGTTATTATAAAAAAACAATAATAAATAAATAAATAAATAAAAACACGAGCGGTGGACCATCGTGCATCGCCTACTTACCCCTTCATTATATTAAGTATTTAACAGTGAAAAGAAGGTAAATGAACCTCCTCTAGTGATGGATGTCGAGCGATTATAAATCAACAAATTCTCGAGCATCTCGTTAAAATAACAATTAATTGAACTTTATAATTTATGAAAGGAGAGGAATATAAAGAGAAATGAATTTGCTCGACATCAATCACTAAACTCCTCATTTCGAACATATTAATAATAAGGAGCTTTCGCCCTGAAACAGAGTATGTCGGTGTAAATGTAAAAAAAGGCAATTGACTGTACAGAATGAATGAATTATTTCAAGAAATAAACAACATCGCTAACTACCTATGCTGTAATTTTGGATAAACTCATAATAATACAGTAGAAACCGCTTTTAAGATTTAAGGACCGTGAGTTTATACATTATTCTTTATTAAAAGCATGCCACTAAATACAAAATACCTACAATTTCTTGGAATTTAATTGACAGTATTTGAATACTGCAAATAACACATATTTAATAAATTACATTTTTTTTAAATATAAAGTATAGTTAAAATTCGCTTCTTTATCTTTCTATTTCAGTGATAGAAAGAATGTTTTCATATTTATATAAACGTTTTATATAAACGCGGGAAAGCTTATAATATAATGCTTCATAAGTAATTATTTGTTCAACCACGTCTTTTGTAATGTCTTCTTCATTATTTGCTATCAGTTTTGTTATAAGCAAACTTTTTTCCCTGTTTCTTAAAAATTAAGAAACATCTAAGAATAGTATCCCCGGCTAAAAAAACTTTTACAAGAAAATGTACAAGTTCTTGTACATGTTCATTAATGAACTTGTACATTTTCTTGTACATGTTCTAGTAATGTTCTTGAACAAGTTCAGCATCCGGAATTGAGACATGTTCTTATAACAGAACTTGTACAAGATCCTGGACAAGAAAATATACTTGTACAAGAAAATGTATATGTTTTTGTGCAGGTTTCACGTACACTTTCTTGTACCAGATGTGGAACATGTCTTTTAAATTAAAAATTAAAAACTTTAAAGTCTGCGCAGTAGTTTTCTTAAACCTTTACAGCTGCGCAATAATTTTTAGCATGCATAAGTAAAGAGTTTTAATAATTAAAACTTATTAAATTTTCAAATTTTTTTCAAAAACATTTTTAAACAAATGTTCTTGTACAAGAACATAAACGTGTTCATGTAAAAGTACTTGTACATGAAACCTGCACAAAAAATATCTACAAGAACATGTACATTTTCTTGTACAAGTTCTGATACAAGAACATGTCTCAATTCCGGATGCGCTCCGAAAAAGGGTACCTAAGAAGCAAACGAATTTTGTGTATGAATTTTCAGTTAAAAGCTTCTAAAATAACCTAAAATTTGTATACTTACCTTTCTTCTGATCGCGACACAAATAGTTACTCACTTTTGGCAAAAGCGTTATCACTGTCAACGGTTTCTACTATTAAGAGTGTCGAACGGTCTTTGAAATACTTTGGCATTTAATTATCGCCATATAAAAGCGACACTGAACGTGAAAATGATAAACATTGATTTTAAAATACTTTTTTCTCGTAACGCGGACACTGTTTACAAAATCGGGCAAAACACTAAGGATTATTGTCTTATAAATTTCCTAAATCCTAAAGATTGTGCAAATCTATATACAAAAGCGCGATTGTAAAACGAAAAGTTGGAAAGAAATATAATGACAGCTGCGGCATTGTGCTCCCTGCATGCTTCTGTCACCTAACGGCTGCAAGACGTATAATAATGCTGTCATTATACTGATAGAAACAGGTTGGTTCATCTTGCCACGAAGATATGTCAATGTGTATTAAAGTATGAAATAATGCTTTTTTAGTTTAAAGTAAGTCCATACTAAATAAGAATAATGGTTATACTCTTATAGTAATAGTGACGTACTTTAAAAGCATAAAATTGATGCCCGCGAAGTATGACATATAGTCTACCTAAAATAGCAAGAACTTCTTCCTTTTTGCTATTTTAGGTAGACTATATGTCGTACTTTGCGGGCATCAATTTTATGCTTTTAAAGTACGTCACTATTACTATAAGAGTATAACGATTATACTTATTTAGTATGGACTTACTTTAAACTAAAAAAGCATTATTTCATACTTTAATAGGTAAACGAAATTATATACGATTAAAGGATAAAGCAGTTTGGTGCTAAAATAGTTAGTTTGTTTTTTCCGTGCAGTATTGACTATAGTTATTTCTATCAGTATGTATATTACTTTTTGTCCTGCCTGGACGAAAAGTATGTCGTTTGAGGGCACGACTGTTCTGAAAAGTACAGATAAAAATACAAGAAAAAAATAATTATACAGCTCTGTATTTTAAGAAAATAATTTTATTGCAGTTATAGAAACAGTAATTCAAGTATTTAGAAGAATTGTTTATAATTCAATTTAATTTAATCGTTAATGACTTTTGAGATCGAAAAAAATTATCTATGTATACCGCTTTCAGTTTTATATCCTCTCTGATATAAATTAAATTACTATAGACAAAAAGTATAAGTTGCATAAGTGTAAAAGTACTTTTACACCCGCTTGCCTAACCCGGAACCCCGAGCGACAATGAGATACTTTGGGCCCGCTTTAAGTGCCCGAAATGACATACTTTTCGGGCAGGTAGGACAAAAAAAATATTTTCAAATCAATGTTTATCATTTTGACGTCCAGTGCCGATTTTATAATGTGTAATATTTTATAAGTGCCGATAATTAAATGCCAAAGAATTTCAGAAACCGTTCGACACTCTTAAGGCCAGGTCCAAGCCATGTCAGCTGTTCCATTGAAACTTCAAAGGAACAGCTGACTTGACTTGGACCTGGCCTTAAACCTTTGAGGACCAAATTATTTCTTAAATTTTTTATTTTTAAACAAGCTTTTCAGGGAAACTAATTAAGCTTTTTTTGTCTCAAACCACAGTTTGAAATCGGAAATTTATTAGACTAAATAAAAGACATTGATACCTATACAAAATTCAGTTTTAAAATTCAAGGAATTTATGCATGAGACGTGTATGCGCCGCCATGTTTCTTTTCATTTTCGTTTAAAAATCACACTTTTTAAACTTAATTTTTAATAACTTAACGCAAAATTATGTATTTTTCGGAGAACAGAGAGATTCCTTGTACCCTAATCTATCATCCTTCAAAATTTTAGACAAAAATCATTTCTCATTTTAGAGAGAAATGTATACTACCAAAACACATTTTCCCATACTAGGTCACGTGGGAGTTTCCCACATGCTGTCAATTTAAGAAATGTATACATTTCTAGTTCTATTTTTGAATTTTCCACAAAATTTTAGCTCAATCTGTCAAGTAATTTGTGAGAAAACCTGTATTTACATATGAAATCTCAACAATTACATGACCTTAAACAGTTACATATACTCGAGTTTGCGCAGAAAATTCATAAACACGATTTTTTCGTTGACGGTAATACCTATAGGTGTTTTCGGCGCCTACGGATCATGATTCGGATCACACAAAGGTGATCAATAGTTTTGAAGTGTGATAATGAACTAAAAAAAATTATGAAAAAAAACATAGAATATTGAGCACGACTGGGTGATCCGGATCATGATCCGTGGACACCATGAAAACACCCATTGTTTACACTGAGAAAAAAAATTTAGTCTTTGCAACAAAATTGTTTGGTTAGGCAATTTTGGTTCTTGTAACCAAATTTTGGTTGGCTGAAACAAAGTCGTAGAGTTATCTCAACCAAACATTTGGTTAGGCCAACAAAATTATTCGGTTGAACATTTTTAAATTCCAACCAAGAGTTGGTTTCGACAACAAAATAATTTGGTCCCAACCAAATTTTGGTTGCTCTGAGTAAACATTTTTCTCAGTGTACGTTCTGTTCAGACTCCAAAAACAGTTCCGTTAGGCCACTTAGGCTTAGTTAAGGTTGTGTGATTGTTGTTATTTCACATTTAAATGTTTTCCGTAAAGATTTTGTCGTAAAATACTTGATAGATTGAGATAAAATTTTGTGGACAACTCAAAAATAGTACAAAGAATCACTGCCATGTGATAGAATATTAATATTTGTCAAAAAAATTTATTTTGAAAAAATTACATAATTATGTGAAGCTCCACGAGAAAAGGGACGCTTGAACTTCTCATAAAAATCATTAGTTAAAATTTTCATTTTTAATTTTTAATAATTTTATTAAATATATTTATATTTTTTATAGACGAATTTTCATTATTTGAATTCGCATTTGACAGAATTTCTTTTTAAACGAATTTTTACTTAATGAAATTTTTATTTGAAAGCATTTTTATATTTTACGGATTTCCTCTGTACCAACTTTTTATTTAGAAAGTTTTAATTAAAATTCGCTCCAAAATATTTCTGTTAATTTTTTTTTTGTCGGACATTTACAATTTCGAAAAAATTGAAATTCAGCGTTTATCAAATAACAATTTATGCAAATGAAAATTCGGACAAATAAAGATTTGGAGAATTGAAAATTTTGGTATTTAAAAATTCAAATCACTTAAAATTCTATTGAATGAGAATTCTACTAAATGAAAATTCGGTTGAATTAAAACCTTTAAAATAAAAAGTTGGTACAGAGAAAATGCGTAAAATTAAAAATCTTTCAAATAAAAATTAGGTAACTAAAAATTTTTTTGGAAAAATTTGTTTCAAAAGAAATTTTGTCAAATGCTAATTCGAAAAATGAAAATTCCTCTAAAAAATTATATTATATCTATAATAAAATTTTTTAAAATGAAAATTTCAACTAATAATTTTTATGGAAAATTTATGAGCCTGATAATTTTTACTATTTCCTTCATTACAAAGAAAAGGTACAGTTTGAAGAAATAATTATTTGTAAATATAAACTATATACATATAAAACAGCTTTCACAGATACTTTAGCATGTGTAAAGTTCAACATTTTTTTTTATTTTTTACACACATTTTAACATTGACATGAAAATATGAGATGTTAAAATATTATACATTTAATTGTTATTAGTAAATGCTGATTTTTATTCATTTTTAAATTTACCAATCCAAAATACTTTATATAGGGCTCGTTGGATGCTGAATTGGTAAGTTCTGAATAACGGTAACTAAGTTTGTAAAATATTTCATTTTTTATTAACAAAATTTTCTCGAAAACAAAAAACGATATTTTTTTTAATCACTTTATTAAAACTATTCATTTTAAGCTTCATTTTATAGGGTAAAAAAGAAGAAAAAAATGATCCTTTTTTAAAAAGAAAATAAAAAATGTTATTGATTGTCAAAAACAACGCGAGTAAATTTTGAATTTTATGAAAAAAAGATATTCCACCATTCGAAAAAGCAGGTAAAAACCTTTAGAAAACTTATAGGTCGAAATTTTTTCCATCCCTTTATACAATAGTTATGATTTTTCAAAAAATTCACTGTTCACATTTTTGCTATTTGTATACTTCTCCGCAAAACTCAATGTATTAAGAATTTATCTCAGCGCAATTAAATTGATCAGAATTTATCTCAACTTAAAGTGAACAGTCTACATGTTGACATTTTATTCTGTGACACATTTTATCACTTTCGCAGTTGTAATAAGATTATTAATTGATTCAATTCATTGAGACAATTCTGTTTCAACGCTTACATACGTTTATCATAAAATTTTCTACTAATAAACTTTAAATCTAATTAATTTGGTTTGTTTTGAGAAAGTTATTAATTAAAAATATATAAATAGTTTATTAATTAATTTAAAAAAAATTATATTATTTTCTTAAAAATGTCTTCTAATTTTAAATTTCTTCAAGTACATATTAATCATTTTGTGGAAAAGCAAAAATTGTCGAATGTAAAAATCAAAATTTCCAATGGCAATGTGGAAGTAGATAATTTTTTGGCAAATATTTATCGAGTTCAATTGAAGGGAGAAAAAATTGATGAAAATAAAAGTGTGAGTTATAATTTGATAATTAAGTGTTTTCCACAAGGAGAAACGATTATTTTTAATGAATTTAAAATAAGAAATTTCTATCTTCATGAAATTTCTTTTTATGAAGAAAATATTCCAATATTGGAGAAATTATTAAGTGAATATGATACGAATGTGAAAATTAATGATATTCCTATTTATTATGGGAGCTGTAAAACTAAAGGTGATGAGGTAACAACATTTTTTATACGCATTTCTTTTTAAAGTATAATTGAAAATTGCTTTCTATAAATATTTTGTTGTATTTGGAAAGTTTTCAAAAATATTTAATTGTTAACAAATTATTAATGATTATGAATAATAAGAAACAAATAATTAATTAATTTTTCATTAAAAAATTAATTAAAAAACAGTTATAACAAAAAGCAAATATTAATTTAATATTAATAATAAATATAAATTAATAATTAAAAATTTGTGTTATATAAATTAATTATTCTAGGTGCTAATACTTGAAGACGTATCTTATCGTGGATTGAGGGCAAAAAAATCAAAGCTCCTTGATTATTCACATGCAGTAATGGCACTAAAACATCTTGCACAATTTCATGCATATGGTTTTATTTTACGCGTCAAAAAACCGGAATTATTTGAAAAAACTATAAAAACAATTAAAGAACCTGCTTTTTTTGAAAGCGACGATTACACGAAACAATATGGAAAGCTTTGCGATGTTGCAATAAAGGTTTGTGAAATTTTTCAACCCAAGGCTAAATTTCAGAATGCATTTTACAAAAAAAAATGCAAAATTATTATCTTTCGCATTTCTGGAAGTAACTATTTACTAAAAAAAAAAAGAAACTGATAAATGCAAATTTAAAAATTCGGGAAATTACATGTCAAAATTCATCAGTATTCTGTTGGTAATACAAATTTTGGCGGGTAAATTTTAATTCAAAATAATTCCTCAAACTAAAAATTGTTTTATATAAAACTATACACCCAAGTAGCACGATATATCAACCAGATGTTACGGTGATATCACCGGGGAATGTCACCGTGACATCAGGAAAATGTCAAAATGTCCGCCTTACGGTGATATCACACGGTGACATCGTGGTGATATCATGGTGACATCAAGGTGATATCACAGTCATATCACGGTGATATCATGCTGATATCACCGTGATATCATGTTGATATTTTACAGGGATTTAAAATTTTTTAAAAATTATTATTTTTTACTATTTTTTTTATTATTTTTATTATTTTTTTTATTTATTATTATTTTCTAAATTATTAAAAATTTTAAGTCCCTGTAAAATATCAACATGATATCACGGTGATATCACCATGATATCACCGTGATATGACTGTGATATCACCTTGATGTCACCATGATATCACCTCGATGTCACCGTGTGATATCACCGTAAGGCGGACATTTTGACATTTTCCTGATGTCACGGTGACATTCCCCGGTGATATCACCGTGACATCTGGTTGATATATCGTGCTACTTGGGCATAAAATTAAAAATAATTTTACTAAATTTTTGAAGAAATAGTTGAGGTTATGTTAGTAGGTTGAATCTTCCGCGTGCAAAACTGAAATACCGTAACTTCTTTTTTTTTACTTTTAGGTTATAATGGTCAACATAACCTAAATAAAAAAACAATTTATGACATTTCAGTTTCGCACGGCACAATATTCATATATTCAGTTTTTAATATTTATTTAAAATTCAAATAATTTAATTTTTCCCCTGTTGAAAATTCCGACCTCGTTTACGACGTCGTATTCTAAGTAGTTTGCGACGTAGTAAACGACGTAGTAAACGAAGTAGTAAACGACGTCGTAAATGAAAGCGGAATTTGGGATAGCAAACTACGTCGTTTACTACGTCGTTTACGATGTCGTTTACTACGTCGTTTACTACGTCGTTTACGATGTTGCAAAAATTATTTTAATATTATTTATTTAGTAATTTAGTAAGTCCAATATCCAATATTAAAAATTTTAATAATAATTTAAAAAATCAATAATTTAAAAAAAAATTTATTTTTATTATTTTTTTATAGTTATTATTATTATTTTATTTTTAATATTTAAATTAAAATAAAAAAATGGTCATCAAAATATTAGTGAAACCATTTCTTCCAAAAAAGAATTTGTCTCAAATCCAATAAAGGAGAGACATCGGGCAGAAAAAAATTTCGACAAAAAAAAAATTTTCGATCACTGCTTATATACCAATCTAAAGGCACCTCAACTGCGAGAAACAGTTATGATGTTCGCCCTCCCTGTGGCGTTGAGCGAACTTAAGTCCAGAGCTGAGCCATCAGCGCAGCGCGGAAACATTTGAAAAATTTGATTTTATTAGATATTTTATTTTATTTTAAATATGACAAATAATTAACTTAATAAATAATTAATGTCATAAATAATTATTAATAACATAATGTCATACTTAATAATTCGTTAATTAATTATTTTTAACGAAAATTTGACAAAAACAAAATTTGTTGGCCAAAAAAAATATTACCATTAAAAAATAATTTTTTTGTTAAAATTTCGTAGTAAAAAAAATTTTTTCAAGACAATTATTTGTGACCTAAAAAAATATCACGATGAGAATATAATTAACAAAAAAAATTACTCGTAGCACAGAAAAAATTTCACCATGAGAAAATAATTTTTTTTAAATTTTATTTGTAAAAAATTTATTGGTAGCTCAAAAAAAATATCACGATGAGAAAATAATTTTTTGTCAAATTTTCTCTGTAAATAAATTAATTAACTAAATAACGTACCGTAAAACGGGGTTATTTCGCTCATTGCGGGTAAATTCGCTCACCCACTTTTATGCTTTATTTCAGCTTTAAAATAAAGTTTAATACATTTATTACCAGGTTAAATTTTCGTAATAAAAAAATTAATTAATTTATTATTAAGCTAACTAGCAAAATTAAACGCGCGCAAGCGCGCCAAATTGAGGATTTAATTATTTGTTATAAAGAAATTAAAGATTAATATTATTAATAATAATTTAATTTATTAGAATATTATAACATATTAAATGATAATAATGAAAATTATATGTTTACAGGCCTCGGATTATACGACTTTTTCCGACTTTTTTCAAAAATACGACTTTTATCAACTTATTTTAATAAAATGCGACTTGTTTTTTACATTTGAAAAGAAAATGTAAATAAAATACATTTTTTTGGTATAAAATGTAGATCTTCTTCAGATCTTCTTCAATTCAATTATTTAACAAATTTTGAACTAAAATGATTCTTCACTAAATTAATTATTTTTAATAATTTTAATGAAATACATTACAAATTCAATTATATCAAAATTATTTTTCAATTAAAATTTTTATGAAATTTAACAATTGTTTATAATTTAAAAAAAAATATCACAATAAAATTGAATTATTTTTTAAAAATTTCAATTCAAGATAAACTAAAATTCAATTATTACCCGAAATTTTAATTCAAAATCAATTAAAATTCAATAATTATCCAAAATTTTCAATTTAAAATTTAATTATTTACCAAGTTTTCAATTTAAAATGAAATAAAATTCAATTATTTTCTAAAATTTCTATTCAAAATTAATTATCCAAATTTTCAATCAAAAATGAACTTAAATTAAATTATTATAAAAAATTTCAAGTAAAATTCAAGTATTTCCCAAAATTTTTAATTCAAAATGAACTGAAGTACAATTATTTTCCAAATTTAAAATCAAAATTAAATTTCATTATTCTCAAAAATTTTAATTCAAAATTAATTGAATTTTCAATAATTTGAATTTAAAAGCATCTAAAATTTCTAAAATTTTCCATCGAAATTTTTTTTTTTTGAAATTTAATAATTTCAATTATAACTCTAAGGAAATTCAATTATTTTTAACTATTTTAATAATATTCTTTGAAAATTCAACTATGTGAAACCATTTTTCAATTAAAAATGATTTTCAAATTATTGTATTTTGTCCGCATTTTCTAATAAATTTTTAGTGAAATCATCTAAAATTTTAATTACAAAACACTTAAAGTTTCAATTAATTTCAAAAATCTCAATTTTAAATCTTTGAAAATTCAATTAAATTTAAAAAATGTTTTCCAAAAATTGTTTGATAAATTATTTTTAGATCTGTAAAATTTAATAATTGTTTGAAAATTAACTATATCTTTTGAAATTTAATTATTTCTAAAAATTTCAACTTTAACCCTTCGAAAAGGATTATTATTAAAAAAAAATTTTTATTTAAAAATCTGTAAAATATTTTTGTTAAAATGAAAAACAAATCCACTTTTTTTTGGAATATAAATCGACTAAAACGACTGTTTTGTGTCTTTAAGTTGATTCGAGGCCTGTGTTTTTATAATTAATATTTAATAGGTAATCGTTGGCCCCTGGTACCTTAAAAATAAATTTTTTTCAAATTACTATCTTGTACGAAATTTCCTGGCGCATCTTTTTTCTCATTATAAATTTTTTGTATTTGTATACAATTTTTGAATCAATATACAACTTTAAAAAAATTTTCGTTGGTAAACGTTGTGTACTTCAGCTTCGTGAATTGAATTTTCGAATTTGGAATTTTAAAGAAACTTATTTTATTATTTTATTTTAAAGAAATTTGGAAACACAATTATACAATTTTGGCAAAAATGAGAAAAAGAATTGTCAAAATTTGACACGTCATAAGATTACTATATTCAAAAAAATACGTGAAATCAGAAAAGGCCAACTTCAAGTTAGGACAGAAAGACAGACCAAACATTTTATTATTATATAATTATTTAATTAATTTTTTTTACAGAGAAATTTTGACAAATAAAATTATTTTCTCATCGTGATATTTTATTTGGGCCACAAATAATTTTTTTATTGAGAAAATTTTAAAATAAGTAAATTTCTCATCGTAATATTTTTTTGTGCTACGTATAATTGTTTTGTTAAATCTTTTTACAGAGAAATTTTTACAACAAAATTATTTTTCATCGTGATTTTTTTTAAAAACACGAATTTTTTTTTTCAAAGAAAATTTGAAAAAAAATTATTATTTTATCATTGTGATATTCTTTTGTGCTACGAATAAATTTTTGGTAAATTTTCGTAGTAAAAAAAATCAACGATTTATTACGGTATTTAGTGAATTAATTGTTTTTAAGAGAAAATTTGACAAAAAAGTTATTTTCTTATCGTGATATAATTTTTTTAGGCCACAAAATATTTTTTTTACAGAGAAAATTTAAAGATAATTAAATTTCTCATCTTGATATTATTTTTGTTCTACAAATATTTTTTTGTTACATTTTCGTAGTAAAAAATTAAGTAACTATAATAATTACCGTAAAACAGGGTTATTTCGCTCAGTGCGGGTAAAGTCGCTCACCCATTTTTTTTCTTTAAATTTGATTAAAAACTAAAATTTAGTATTTCTATTAACAAATTTAACATTTTTACCTGCTAATAAAGGTATTAAACTTTATTTTAAAGCTGAAATAAAGCATAAAAGTGGGTGAGCGAATTTACCCGCAATGAGCGAAATAACCCCGTTTTACGGTACGTTATTTAGTTAATTAATTTATTTACAGAGAAAATTTGACAAAAAATTATTTTCTCATCGTGATATTTTTTTTGAGCTACCAATAAATTTTTTACAAATAAAATTTAAAAAAAATTATTTTCTCATGGTGAAATTTTTTCTGTGCTACGAGTAATTTTTTTTGTTAATTATATTCTCATCGTGATATTTTTTTAGGTCACAAATAATTGTCTTGAAAAAATTTTTTTTACTACGAAATTTTAACAAAAAAATTATTTTTTAATGGTAATATTTTTTTTGGCCAACAAATTTTGTTTTTGTCAAATTTTCGTTAAAAATAATTAATTAACGAATTATTAAGTATGACATTATGTTATTAATAATTATTTATGACATTAATTATTTATTAAGTTAATTATTTGTCATATTTAAAATAAAATAAAATATCTAATAAAATCAAATTTTTCAAATGTTTCCGCGCTGCGCTGATGGCTCAGCTCTGGACTTAAGTTCGCTCAACGCCACAGGGAGGGCGAACATCATAACTGTTTCTCGCAGTTGAGGTGCCTTTAGATTGGTATATAAGCAGTGATCGAAAATTTTTTTTTTGTCGAAATTTTTTTCTGCCCGATGTCTCTCCTTTATTGGATTTGAGACAAATTCTTTTTTGGAAGAAATGGTTTCACTAATATTTTGATGACCATTTTTTTATTTTAATTTAAATATTAAAAATAAAATAATAATAATAACTATAAAAAAATAATAAAAATAAATTTTTTTTTAAATTATTGATTTTTTAAATTATTATTAAAATTTTTAATATTGGATATTGGACTTACTAAATTACTAAATAAATAATATTAAAATAATTTTTGCAACATCGTAAACGACGTAGTAAACGACGTAGTAAACGACATCGTAAACGACGTAGTAAACGACGTAGTAAACGACGTAGTTTGCTATCCCAAATTCCGCTTTCATTTACGACGTCGTTTACTACTTCGTTTACTACGTCGTTTACTACGTCGCAAACTACTTAGAATACGACGTCGTAAACGAGGTCGGAATTTTCAACAGGGTCATGTTCTGTTGAAAAATCGTTATTTTAATAACTAATTTTATTTCGAAATACAGGCCATAGAAAATGAAGGAACGTATTATGTTGAAAAAATTAATAAGTTTAGAAACAATGTATTCAAATATTGTTTATATGATACAAATGGAAGTAACGCAGAACCATTTGCAACAATAACTCACGGTGACTTTTGGACGAATAATATGTTATTCAAATATAACGAGGCAAGTATCGACTATTTTTTCATATGTCCCAATTAAAAATTTTATATATTGTTTTTTGTTATTCTATTTAAATCAGGTGTTATGGCTGCGCGCGAAGTTTCTTATTTTCCAGTCAATGACACCAACGTAATTCTAAAAAGTGAGGTTATGATTACCATATTTAGTTCACGTATTAAATTGGTATCATTGGCTAGAAAATAAGAAACGTCGCGCGCAGCTATGACATCTGATAAAAACAACTTCTAGAATATGGCACATATTATTTAAATTTATTTTGCAAAAAATTATTGAAATTAATTAATATTACAGAATTCTGAACCAGAAGACTTTTGTTTTTTGGATTTTCAAATGTATCGTTATGCATCGCCAATTTTGGATATTGTTTATATGCTTTTTATTTGTTGCACCTATGAAATGCGCCAAATTTATTATGATGAATTATTAAAAGAATATTACAAGTCATTTTCAGAATTTTTAAATAAATTTCATCTCAATGCAAATCAACTTTTTCCATATGAAATATTTATGAAACAATTACAATCTTTTGGAAATTATGGCGCATGTTTGGCACTTTTTGCTCTTCATGGCTTTTTAAAAGAGAAAACAGAACCAATTATTTCTGTACATGTTGAAAATTGTTTAAATGATTTATTCGAAAGATTGGAAACCAACAAATTGTACGCGAGTATGTTGAAAGGAATTTTTAAAGATATGGTCGATAAAAATTATATATAACAAAAAAAATTATATATCATAAAAGTAAATAAAAATAGTTTGAAAAATTTTCTTGTTATTTGAAATAATACTACCCGTTATCAATTGAAGCTTTTCGAAAAGCCCTTCTACAGGGGCTTCTTTTAATAGACACAAATATAAAAACCGGTTGGACTAATAATATAACTTATATTTTATTTAAAATACTGCAATTTAATTTAAGAATTAATTACTATTGCCACTTATTTTTACTGACAATAAAAAAAAGTAAATTTTAAGTAGCTGTCAAAAACACACTCCTCACATTGCGCGTGGGTGCGACTTGGGTCGATTCGTCTTTCAGAACAGCTGTTCGATGTCATCCTCCAACTAACAAAGAGGGCATTTGAAATTAATTATTTCTTTGATAAATAATTTTAACGTCAACAATGGTGCAGTGTATAGTTATTAAAATAAAAAAAATGTGCAACATAACATGCTTGTGAAATAAAAACAAATAATCAGTGTCCTTGACACTGACAGTTTGGTGTATATATATATATATAAAAATTGAAAAGTGCAATATGTATTTATAATCTTATTTTACTTACAAATGTATTCAAAATTAAAATGTACGTCATGAAAATATTGCTTAATCATCTTACGTATTTAATAATTCAAGAAAATCATTGCTAATTTGTATTCAGATATAATTTCACTAAAAAAAAAAAAAATTACGGCAATATTTCAAACTTAACCTCACTTGCAAAGAAAACATGAACTTCAAGGGCTCTCAATAGAAAAATGGTTATCAGGAAAGTAAAAGAAAAGAATATTTAATTAATGCAAGAAAAATATAAATTTCAAGGAATGTTTTGGAAATTTAATGAAACTGCAAGTTATTTAATATTTTGACAACACTGCCAAAAATTTGTAGTGTACAAAAAAAGAAAGAGAAAAATTGTTTATTTTCAACGAAATTGTATTATTATTGGGTGAAAATTTCAAATGTCTTCAGACGATGATTTTGAGAGGCCCTTTGAGGATATTGAACCTCCGCAATGGGCTGCTTTAAGAGAGATATGTCAGGCAAATGTTTCATATTTTGCTGCAGGACAAGATGACAGCAGTATAAGGATAAAGGGTGCATTAATTGCGTGTTTAGATTACTTGGGACAATTGTATCCTATTTATAAAGAAATTGCTAAAATAGCACCGCAATTTGATTTTGATTCAAAAACACCTGGAAATGGATATAGAAGTTTTTTAATTTTAGTTGACAAATGCATTTTATACACTTGCAATGTTTCTCGTCGAATGTATCGTCAGAAGGATTTTTTATTTTTCTCCAAAACTTTTCATACTAAGTAAGTTTATTCGAGTTTTTTTAAATATAAATCTAAAAAACATTTAAATCAAATAAATAATATTATTGATTATTTAAAAATATATACATATGGGGAAATTTCATAAGAAATGTCTTTTTTTTAACTGGGATATTTTTTTTCTAAATCTTTATTAAAAATAAGAAAATACGTATTTTTCTATATTTTTATTTGAAGAGCAAATTTTCAAAAGTCGATAAATCCAATTTTCAAAAAAGTGGAGATAAACGCAGACTTATAACGTATTAAAGACTTTATTAATCGATCTGTCACTGTTGAATTGAAGAAATAAAAACTTCTAACAAAGAAATTTCAATTTAAAAACATCTGGGTTTAACCAAGATGATTTATAATTTTAATTTCTTTTAATAGAAGAAATAACTAAAATCTTAATATTTCTTCAATTATGATAGACTTTAATTTATTAAATACAAAATGTATTAAATTTAAAAAAAAATTATATAAATAATTTATTACAAATTTTATTTCTTAAAATTAACTTAAGTTATTATGTGAAAAATGTAATTTATTTAAATTTTTTTAAATAACAAAATATGGATTTATCACTTTTATAAAATTTACTCCTCATTCAATAAAAATTATGGAAGTTACGATTTTTTTAAATTTATCGTCGCCAGAAGCAAAGTACTTTTGAAATTAATTTTTCTCCGTCCTACTTACAGATAAAAAAATTATATATATGAAATTTGTTAGATTTTTCTTTAATATTTTAAATATATACTGTAAAAAATTACGTAACTATAACGGAAGCATCTAAAAAATTAAAATTACATAAGTCTAAGAAGTGCCTTTTTTCAAAACCAAAGTGATCGATTTTTGAAATTTTTTTTTAAAATTCGATTTTTTCGATTTAAATCTGATGTTTTTTATTTAAATGAAATTTCTTTATACTTACGTCACATTTTTCAAAAGTTAATTTCTAAATTATTTATTTTTTAATAAATATTTAAAAGATAAATTTAACAATAAAAACATCAAAGAAATATTTATATTTTTATCAATGAAAATAAAATTTTTGAATTAAAATCTGAAATTTTCCAACAATTCGTGTTTTTCAAAATTGTTGATTTCTAAAAAGAACAAAATAAAAACTTTGAACTAAAAGAATCCAAAGAGACATTTTTTTCAAAGATGTACGGTCTTTGGAACTTTAATAACTTTTTAATAATAGTAAAACTGCTCAAATGAATTTTTATTGATTTAATAACTTTGTGGAAAAAAATTAGAGCCACATATAATGATACTTTTTTTTGTAAAAATTGTAATATTTTTTATTGGTAAAAATAGGGAAATTAGAATATGTTCTAGAATTTATTTAAATTATCAAAAATTTATTTAAAAAATTCAGAAATTAATTTTATTATCGTTACTTAAAATAATTAAATAGAAAATTTTATTTACAGAGAAATTGAGACTTGTTCGCAACTTTTGGCCTCATTGTTCACTTTATTACAACATCTACAAACTCTTTACTCCTGGAGTATAGCAGATGAAAACAAAGAACCTTCTCTATTTGCTTCAGAAGATCATGGTCCTCAAGAACTTTTAAATCAAGCTGAAGCTGTCAATCAGTATTGTTTTTACGGCAGATGTATAGGATTTCAGGTATATATTTCTTTTAATACCTATGTATTTGGAAATATTAAGATTTTACAAAAAACTTTTGAGTGGTCCTTTTTTTGAAGAAAAACTGAAACTTTTTTTTCTTGTCAAAAATGGTTAAATTCAATACTTTTACAGTTCAGAATTAAAAATTTCTATAACTTTAAAATTCGAGGAAAAAATATATAATTTAGCCGACTTTAAAAGGTCGACTATAAATTTGACGTGAAATCGTCATTATATTTAATTATTTTAATAATTAATATTGAAGATTAGTGATAAAATAAATGTAAATCTTTTTTTCAGTTTTGCAGTAGTATGCAAGTAATATTGAGAACAATATCGATTTGTATGGCTGCATTTAGTGAATCATTTTTCCCAAAAGGAAACGTATTGGAAAGATGGGGCAATTCTTTAAAATATGTATCTGATCCTGAAGCAAAAGCTCGTTGTCTAGTTAACATATCTCAAAATGCAGATATTTCTTTCTGCAAAGCATTTTGGTTGCTCAACGAATCGGGTAAAATTTTTATTTACATGCTTATTAATAAATTAATTAAATATATCTATATCACAATGTTTCTTAACTTTAACCTATAGGTGTTCACACTAAAATTTGTTTCACATCTTTCACATTTTCAAACATTTTATAATTCAAATTTCAACATCCTTTATTTTATTAAAGTTTTCAGGAATCGACTGGCGTAAAAATTTATCTTTTCTTAAAATTTTAATTGAAATAAATCTTTTTGTATTTTTTGTTAAATAATAATTAATTTTTTAAAAGTCCAACATTCATCATTGTTATTAGAAATTTCTAATTTTTGTGACTTTTGTTTAATATAGGTATAGCACAGATTTATCCATCAATTGTGATGCCAACATTAGCCATCAATCAAATTATTTCCATACCACCTGAAGAAATGAATCTTGTTACACTGGAAAATAATCCAGTTTCTATTCCAATACCTACGAGTCATATTGGAAAGAAACCGATACATGTCAGATTAATGAGTGCTAAGCGAAGAATAGGAATGGTATGTGTGGTATTTCTTTTCCCAAAAATATTTATAAAAAGCATTCTAAAATTTTCAAATAAAATTTTGTCTTTCTCCCTAAACTTGACAAAATTTTTTTTTCCAAAAGTCGAATTTTTTTTTTTTTAACTAATTCATCTCTTTGATATTTTTTCAATGCTTTTAATAAAAATTCCTGATTTCCTTGACCTGTGGTAATCCTGAAAATATTTGTTTAAAAATCTTTATATTACATCAAAACTATTATAATTAGTTTAAAAAAATATTTTAAAACGTAACGTTTGATTTACTTGAGCAATTCTACTTTTATTGCATTACATTACAAAGTTATTAAAGTTGACAAAAGCAAAACATTTATTTAAAAAATTTCATTTTGGATAATTTTTGTTCAAAATTTTCATATCAGTTCAAATATTTTCTAAACAAAATTCTAGGGATTCAAACTTTTTAAGGTATAATATTACAAAATTATTGACTTTTTAGAAATCAACAATTTTGAAAAACACGAATTGTTGGACAATTTCAGATTTTAATTCAAAAATGTTATTTTCTTTGATAAAAATATAAATATTTCTTTGATAAGGAAAAAAATTTCAGGTATTTCTGGATCAAATTTATGATATTTATTTATTTATATTTCTTTGATGTTTTTATTGTTAAATTTATCTTTTAAATATTTATTAAAAAATAAATAGTTTAGAAATGAACCTTTGGAAAATGTGACGTAAAGATACAGAAATTTGATTTAAATCAGATTTTTTTGATTTAAAAAAAAAATCATGATTTTTATCAGATAAACTAAAAATGTGAATTAATTATTATTTAATTTTCAGGTAGGATCAGGAAGTGTGGGAGGTCGATTAGAAAATCAATCTGATGTTCTTGTGATACATTGTCATGGTGGTGGATTTGTTGCGCAAAGTTCCAAATCACATGAAGTTTATTTACGCGGTTGGGCTGTGAGTTTAGACGTGCCAATTTTGAGTATCGATTATAGTTTAGCGCCCGAGGCTCCATTTCCTCGTGCTCTAGAGGAAATTCTCTACACTTACGCCTGGGTATTAAATCACTCAAGTACTTTACTGGGCAGCACAGCTCAAAAAATTATTTTCATAGGTAATTACTGTCAATATTAATTCGTGAATATTTTTAAAATATATTAATCGGATTAAGAATTAACTTCACAATAAAATGTGTTTTTCTATTTGAAAAATAAAGAAACATTTTTTTTTTATATTTTCATAACATTTTTTTAGATAAAAATTATTTTCTTAAAGAACATTAATTTTAAAAACAATTTATTTAAAAAGTATTATTTGTTTATGATTTTTAAAAAGTTTTCCCTGATTAAAAAAATTATGAATATTTTCAGGGGATTCGGCTGGTGCTAATTTAATTTTAGGAACAACTCTCAGATGTTTTGAATTGAATATTCGAAGACCCGATGGAATATTTATGGCCTATGTGCCTGTTTGGGTGGAATTTATTCCATCACCAGCTCGTTTACTTTGTCTTACGGATCCATTGTTACCATTAGGTTTTATGATGAGATGTTTAAAAGCCTACGCTTTAGGAAATACAAAAAAATCTCAAATGTAGGAAGAAAAAATAAATTAATAACAATTTTTACATCTCAAGAATATAATGATAAATGTATTTAATTATTCTTTTAGGGAAAATGACGAAAACGACGAAAGTTCCAAATCTGATACTGAATCATTTGCAGAAGTTAGTGAAAGTGATTTAATTGCTTTGGCTCTAAGTCCTAATGGCGATGAAGATGGGCCTAAAATTTCATCATTACCTTCGGATTCAACTTTGAATTCTGTTAGTTTAGCTGATGTGGATGGTGCACAAGGTTCGTTTTTTTTTATTTAACAATTTCTTAATTATTTGCTACTATTATTTTTTTCATAAATCTTTTAGCATCAGAACTTCCAGAAGAGAAAGCAAAGTCTCAGGAGTATATACAAAAATTTTTGAATTTATATAAAAATTCTAATTTACGTTCGTCTTTTCCCGTTTTAAATGGAAATAAAGGAAAAGATAGTGAAGGATCGACAAGCTCAAAGTCATGGTCACTTTTTGGTTGGAGTTCGAAAAAAAGTGACGATGACAAAATGGACAATAGTGGCGAGAGAAGTCCTCTCGATGAATTTGTATTCAATGTTCCTCGTCATCCACTCTTGAGTCCTTACCTCGCTTCTGAAAGTATTCTCAGCCAATTTCCACCTGTTAAAATATTGGTAACACATATTTTTTTTAAAGTATATATTTGAATAATTTTTAATATAAATTGAACATTATGTAAAAAAAAATTGTACCATAATTTTTTTGTTTTCTTGTATAAGACGGTGGAATTTGATCCTTGCCTTGACGACTGTGTAATGTTTGCCAAGAAACTTCTAAAACTTGGAAATTCGATTACACTCGATATACTTCCCGGCCTACCTCATGGATTTTTAAATTTTTGCTTGGTAATTCGTAATAATATTATTAATTTTAATAATTAAAAAAAATGTTAAATAAATTAATTTTATTAGTTTTTAATTTCCAAATAATAAAAAAACAAACTATTTTTCAGATCTCTAAAGAAGCAGCAGATGGTTCAGAATTATGTGTAAAACGAATACAAGAATTGATTGAAATGGCTAAAGAAAGATCTTAATTAAATATATTATATACAGTTCTCTATATTGACAAATCCATCCACTTGAATTGATAAATGTGCAATTTCTTATCCAAAAAAGGAAAGTCCGTATGTTTCTAATGAGTTTTTAATTTTTATCTGCTGTTTCATAAGCAAAGACAAAAAAAATATTGCACTTGAGTCCAATTTTTTCGCCAATATATTATACAACATTATTCACAGTTTGTACTAAAAAACAGATGTAAATATTTTAATATCTACAAATTTTTCTCCAATCAATTTAATATATATTAATTTTTTTTTATTTATTTAATATTTGTCAATAATATATAAATTAATTTTTATACCTGATTCCAAAGAAATTGTTCTGTATACATTGGATGAAATATTTTTTAATAAGAGAAAAGGCCATTTTAATGATAAAATAGTTTTTTTTTTACGTAAAGTGCGTAGTTTTCCAAAAGAGGCTCAAAGAAAATGTAAATTTTAATTACATAACCAAAAGGTCACCCTTAATTTTATTGTTGCTTTGGAATATTTTTTTCAGAGTATTTTATATTAGACGTTATTGTTAAATTTAAATATACAAATAACGACTAATAATATTTATAAATAAATATAGTGAATATTTAAAACTAAAATTGTATACATTTTTTTGATGTTTTATTTAATTAGTGTATTTTTATTATATAAAAGCGCAGGATTATTTAATTTTTTTTTTATTCAAAGTAAATGAATATTTTTATATATTTCGTTTATTTAATTTCGATAAATTACATTTTATCTGTGATGACTTAAGCTCTCTGCTGCATTTTGTATTTAATCAATTTTCTCTAATAAAAAGAAAATAAAATAAAACTTACATTTAAATAAAAATTTATTGTTGTGAAATAAAAAATCTGATTTATCTTCTAATACACATTATGTTTATTTATCTCGAAGATATATATGTAAATAAGTTATGAAAAGAAAAAAATAAATATGCTTCGGCGATAATGATATAAGTGGTTTTATTAATTGTATAACAAAAACAATCATCTATTTAGATAATAAAAATAATGAAAACTATGATTAACTAGGGGAAATGAAATTTTATTGATAATTTGTACAATTGTTGAAAATGGAACAACATTTTGGTGATGGCTGCGAATTAAAATGCTTATTGGGAATTCGATTGATGATTAATTGAATTGTGTGGTCGAAAAGTTTTTTGCAAAACATGAGCGTCCGCTGGCTCAATTCTTTTATAATAATGATTTTTAGTTTCTACGACTTCAAATCCAAATTTTTTATAGAAATCAATAGCACCTTCATTATTTACTTGAACATGCCTATAATGTAAAAATAAGAAAATTATCAAAATAGTATTTAGAATAAATATTTTATGAGTAAGAAAAATGATTTAAAAGAAATAACTAAAATTAATACTCACAGAAAAATTGAATCAAAATTGCCATCCTTTTCAACGTAATTTAAAACATGTTGAACCATTACAGTTCCGATTCCTAGCCTGCGATAAGGATATAAACATCCCAGGGTCATTATATATAGCCTTCGAGAGTTTTCTGATGTGTCGACACGACAGCAAACGGCGCCCACCTTCAATTTTCATTACATTATTAGTTAAGGAGAAATTTAACAAAACGTGATAAATACATTTTTCCAACTATTTTTTGCAAACACAGGTTTCGCAGACGTGCAAGAAGTTAGCAATGCCATTTTGTTTTTTTCAAAATAATAATTCTTGTGTTGTGTTGCATAAATTTTTTTGAAAAAATAATAATTAGGACTTAAATTACAAAAAAAAAACATTTTTAAGCTCACAAATGCAAGTCCAGGACAAAAAGAAATTCTTATAACAATTTTCAAAATCTTTAATAATACATAATTTATTGAAAACAATTCAAAATTAAAATCAAAAAACGATTTTTTAATCCATAAATATTAAAAAATTATTATTTTTCAAAAACAAATTTTGTGTTAAATTATGCTGGACTTGAAGAATTCAGCACAAAATTTATTTTTGAAAAATAGTAATTTTTTAATATTTATAGATAAAAAACTATTTTTTTGAAATTTAAAATTGAATTATTTTGAGAAAATTTTTAATTTTTCGTGAATGTTATAATTGTTCTTTTGTGCTGGAATTGCGGAAATCAGCACATTTATTTTTTTGGAAATAACTTTTAAATATCTCTGAGAAAAAATGTTTATTTGAATTTAAGAAGAAGTTTATAAGATTTTCCTTTTGTTCTGGTTAGTTAGGAATTAAATAATTAAGTAAAAAAAATTGATATCTGAATAAATACATTTTAAGAATTCCTAAAATAATAGAATTTGAGGGGGAAATATATAAACACATCGAAGTATTTAAGACGAAAAAAACATGCGAATTTTAGGAAAAATTGAAAAAGAATTAATAACATAACAAAATTAAGTATAATCAAAGGACATTTTAATTTTTAATCATTGGTAAATTTCTTAAAATAATGATTAATTCTTTCCAATGGGTAAACAATTGTTGTAATAATACATTTTCATTGTCAAACCTACCACTATGTCGTTATAATATGATAATTTTGCAAGTTCTCCAGCTTCCAAAACATCTTTATAAAACTTCTCGTTGTATGATACTGGAAATACGACTTGATTAAGTAACTTAAGTTGTTTTATATTGTGAGGTGTAACATCACCAAGTTCTATCTTAGCCCTGTGAAAAAAATTTTATATTCTCTTATGCCTTTATAAACATTTAATTTTTGCAATTCAACGTATATTATAAAAAATTAACATCATTTTTATCTTCTCTATTGAAATGTAGTTTCAAAAAAATTGGACAATATTCAATAATATTGTAAACTATGTAAAATTCTAAAATATTAAATGCAAATAAATAATTCTAACAAAACAATTAAAAAGAGAAAATTTTTATTGTAAACATCGTGCTTTTTTTGACACATAACCTCAAAATTATGAACCTTGACTTTTATCAATTACCTTGTCATTTTGTAGGGCTCGGGCTTGGCCTCAAAGTAACTTAACGATGGACGAAACACTTTGAAAACTAACAAATTTAAAAAGATAAAGAATATTTTTGAAAAAAATTGTAAATTGACGTGATCAAAAATTCGACTTGACTGCGTCCAGGCCCGAACGGCACACAGTCCTAATTGCTGAGTGCCCTATTTCAATATTATTATTATCACTTGAAAAATTTATTAGCAATGAAATTTCTTTCACAATCTAGTTATAAATAAATAAATGTTTTACTTTTTTAATGACAACTTATATTTTAATTTATTAAAAAATCCTCTTCCAGTAATGAAAAATTGAATACAAATATTTTAGCTAATATAAAATACAAGTAATAGAATATGTAAGTAAAAAAAATAACTAATATGATATAAAAATTTATTTATGAATTTTAATAATGTTTCTTTTATAATTATTATAATTTAATACTTTATATACTAAAACATTTCAAATTTCCTACACTTTTAAGAATAGAAATGCAGCGCCAACTTGATTATTTGGATGCGCGCGCATCGACAGGCCGCCATCTTTAATATCACATGACCCTCTTTACGTGTCCCGTGACCAGCTCACGTGAATTTTGACAAAATTCAAACATTTTTTGGTCGGGGACAATGGATATGTTGGAGCAACATCTTAATCAACAGGATGTCAGGTAGATTTTATAATGTATTTTGTGAAATTAGATAAAATATCCCTTGTCAGTTGCTGTGACCATGTCGTTGTTGTCAAGGTCACAGGACAGTGCACAGTGCGCATTTAGCTATATATGTGTGTAATATTTGTACCATTTTTTTTTCTCAACAAAACGAGTACTAATAATTTTTTTTTTCTTAATTAAATAGAAAACAACTTTTTATTTTTCTATTTTGCAAATTTTGACATAAGATCAATCGTTGTTTTTTTGCTCCAGTTCTGTTACCCATAAAGACGAAGATGGAACAGGAATTGTCATTGAGGAAGCGGAAATAGTCGATTGTGATGGTAAGAATTTAACAAATTTATCAATTTTATTTAATTTAAATAGACAAAATTAATATTAATAAGGTGTGTAAAATTATGAGAAAAAAAAGATATTCTCATTTGAGGTTAGTTAGTGTGTTGACGTCAGCTTGTTGATTCTCGAGAAATTCGAGAACCATTGTTTTGATTTAAATATTTTGGTTCAAAATTTCTGTTTTCTTGAGTTTAATTATTGATTTATGAGATTTAGAAATTAAAATTGTTTTAAGGGGTATAAATTTCGGTAGTAAGACTGTTTTTTAATATAATGTTTAGAAATTCTTGATTTAAATCAAAGAGTCGTTTACATTTAAATTTTTTAAACATTTTTTTTAAAAAATAAAATATTTTTTACATTTAATTTTGTATTATCTAAGATTCAAAATTCATCTTTTAATCTTTTGGCGAATATTCTATTGATATTTTATCCAAAGTTATTTGCTTTTTGAAATATTTGTTTAAAAATCTTTATATTACTTTAAATATGTATTAACTATCATAACCAGTTAATAGAATATTAAAAAACATATCGATTGGTTTATTTGTGAAATTTTAGCTTAAATTATTAAAAAGTTATTGACGTTTCAAAAATATCATTTTAAAAAAAAACTTTCTTTTTGAATAATTTTAGTTTAATATTTTTTACAAAAGTTCTAGTTATTTAAACCTTCTACGTTTATAATATTACGAAATTATTAACTTTTAAAAAATCAAAAATTTTGAAAAGCTTTAGGTTTAAATTAAAACGTTATTTTCTTGGATAAAAATATAAATATTTCTTGATGCTTACATTCGGCTTGCATTAAATTTATCGTTTAAGTATTTATTAAAAAACAAACTATTTAGAAATTAACTTCCTTCAATTGTTACATAAATAGAGAAAAGTCAGATTTAAATAGAAAAATTGGAATTTTTTTTTACAAAATCATGATTTTTATCAACCCTGTGGTTAATGGTATTTATAAAATCATTTAAAACCTATTTCGATATTTTTGTCATTAATTTCCAAGATTGTTTAATTTTTAACAAATATCCACCTATTATCTTAATGATTTGATTATCGATTCTGTAATTATATTCTTTTTTCTATTTTGAAATTTTTAAAATTGTTTTTTTGCATATTTAACAAATTTTAATTTGTAATAATAATAATAATTTTTTTAATTATTAAAAAAAAATAGGAGACGCTGTTACTGATGATGGAATGCGTTATCAAGAAAGTCTTACTTATCGTGTTGTCCAAGTAAATGGAGCTGCACCTGGAAGTGAAATGGAACTTCCTGTAAATCAAACCGGAACTAATACGGTTCAAGTTTTAACATCGCCTCTTAATGGTCAATTTTATGTAATTGGAAACGCGAATGACGTTTTTACAACAGCTCAAACTTCAAGATCTCTCGCTCCCAGGACAGCGACACTACAATTAGAAACACCTCGAACATCTTCCACGGGATTAAAAAAAGTTAGTAGAATTTTAAAAAAAGTTTTTATTAACTTAAATAACTTTTTAACAATTTTATTTTATTTTCAATGAAATCTTCTTTATGTTCTTTCAAATGTTCTACAAATTTAGAAAATTTTTCGTTTTTGCAAGTTTTTTTCAACTTTTTTTTATTTTATCAAAAAATATCATACTAAAAAATCAATAAAAATCACTATATGTATATAATTAGTTTTATGTCAAATAGAAACCTTTTTACACAAGTTTCAAGGGGTGTCTAGACACCCCAGTTACCCTTTAGAGGGTGAGAAAATTAAGTTACTCCTTTTAGGGTTAATATTGATGCATTTTTAATCGTATTTGGTATTTTATTCCATAATCTTGCGCCTCTGATAATAAAAGACTTTTGCATTTTACACATTTCATGAAATGATATATAAAATATTATTATTATTGTCAAAACAATTTAGTTATGAATTTATTTAATGATTTTTTCACTCATTTAATTGACTTTGAATTTTATTACGTTTAGAGAGATGATAGACGAAGAGCAACCCACAACGAAGTCGAACGTAGGAGAAGAGATAAAATTAATAATTGGATTGCGAAATTAGGAAAAATTATTCCTGAGTGCAATTCTCATTCTAATAGTAATGGAAATGGGAGCAGTGGAGAAGGGAAAACAAATTATGAGACTCAGGTAATTTTTGTTTTAATTTCAGTAATATTTAATAACAAGAATCACAGTTGGATTCCTTTTTTTTTTTTTATCAAATCCTCATTATTTATTTCGTTTAAAAAAATCACTTAAACTATATACATAAAGTGATGATTATTCTTCTCTTTTTTCAATTAAATGTTAATCAAACATTTAAATTTTTTCAAATTTTTTACATTTATGAAGAAAAGAGAAGATAAGTGCAAAAGAAAATTTAAAAGTTAATAACAATAACACTTTAATACTTAAATCGATTTATAATAATAAACTCTTAATAAATTGCAATACTATTTTTTTCACTTTTGTGGTAAATTATATGTTTTCTCTAATATTTTTTTACTGGTGGCTGAAAAACTGAACTCAAGAATAGTTAAAAAGAATTTTTTTATAACATTTCTGAACTTATATTAATTTAGAAATTATTTTTTCGAAATTTCTGCACATTTTTGGCAACTTTTTGCTCTGGAAATAGTAAAAAGTACTATTCTCAGAGGAATCTTTACTATTTCACGTGTAATATTTTCTATTTCCGTAGCAAAAGTTTCCAAAGATGGTGTAAATTCTTTGTGATTTCTGTAATAAAATTGAAAGAAACAAGTAATTTAATAAAAAAAATGGATTTTTCTTTTCAGAGCAAAGGCGGAATTTTAGCTAAAGCTTGTGAGTATATAGGAGAATTAAGAACTGCAAATCAAAGTCTAGGTCAGTGTTTAAGGGACAACGAAAGATTGAGACAAGAAGTTGTAGATTTAAAGCAACTTGTAATGGAGTTAAAACGAGAAAACCTTCAGCTTAGATCGCAATTGACGTCCAATCCATCTAATTCGGAAATCGCTCATATAAGTCCTTGAACAAAAACAAACAAAAAATTGGTTTGCTTCTTTTCTCTGTAAATAATTCAATAGCGGCAATTTTTCAATTTATTTAGCATAGCAAATTAGATTATTATTATTTTCGTTACGAAAGCCAAGGGATATATTCGACTTTCAGAGAGAAAAAAAACTGCTGTCGCAAGAGTTTATTATATACATATATATATATATATTCGAAGCGATTTTAATATGTGTGAATCGAAAGCAAAAAAAATGAGATAAGGCTGTGAATATCGAATGCCGATTTGCGTTACTCTATGAGCAGTACAAATCCAATTTCAGATATCGTTTATCATGAGGCTTTATTTGCCATTAGATGGACATCATGGTAAAAGTCTAGTAGGCCATCGGCTTTTCAAATCAATTGCATATTTTTATTTTTCTTACTGTTGAAAAGCAGTTAAATATTTTTAGATAAACAAATTATTAGGACTGAGCAAATTTAGAAATGTAGTTCAAATACTTACATAAAAAAAAGAAGAAAAGAAAGATTATGTAAAGAAACAAATTATATGACGAGACAATAGAGAGAAAAAGTCGAAATATAAAAAAGAAAAAAAAATTATCAAAACCTGTGTGCCATTGGAATATCACAAGCCTAAGGTTTTAAATTCGTATCGAGATAAAATTATAAAACTTCAAAGTTATTCAGATTTAACTTGTTGATACATCATTCAAGTGTATGTAATTACATGTACATAAATATATATGTAATTCTTACATGTGTATATTTCGGTGAAGTAATATAGATATATTGATTTTATTAACAATAAACGTTCTTTAGCGTTTTTGGATTTCTTTTTTTTGATTGTTAAATATTTAGGAAAAACTTTATTTGACTACAAGGAAGTAACAAAATAGCTTTTTTAGTATGATGAATTTTATGAGCACGTACTATTATAGTAAGAATTTTTCTTTTCTATAAAAGCAAGGGACATCATATTATAAAACGTAGATTTTTATTTCCTTGTAATCATTGTAAAATCATTTAAAAAAATATTTTTAACTCTCTTTTTGATGTTTTTATGTATTAATTTTCAAAATTTCAAAAAAAAAATATTTAATCATTTTCAGGACAGGGTACATAATTATTTGTTTAAATGTTTGTTAATGTTATTTTTTGTTATTCTAATAAGGTTTCGATTATAAAAAAAATAACAACAAACAATTTTTTCTCCCAAACGCAGAATAAAAAAATAGTAAATTTATTTTTTTGAAAAATAGATTAATAATTTTATAGTTTTTAATTATATAATGAAAGAAAAATTGTAAATTTGTTACACAAAAGTGTTAGGAGAAATCATTTTGGATTCTTAATAGTTTTATTCACGTGATGTTTTTATTTGACATAAATTTACGTTGATATTTATGTTCTTTTCAAAAATACACATAAATATACATAATGTATATGTATTATATATAAATAAAATATTTTCTTTGTATCAATGCGACATCAAAAATACAAGGCAATTAAAATGATGGATCGAAATATGTATTATATCGTTAATGTATATATTGCGGGGTTATTGTTATATTATTATTAAAATGAAATTTAAAAATTTTTCTTGTTTTTAATTTACCTTTCTTGTTTCTATTATTTTACAAATTAATCCTGTTTTTTTTTTTATTATTTATAATTTTTTTCCGGCTAATTTATTTAATTTGATAATAATTTTTTAATAAAAATACAATAATTTGTAATATTAATTTACGATATTCGTACTTTTATATATTTAGTTATGTACTTCCTAATTTATTTATTAGTCAATTATCTATTCTTATAGATTTTACTCTTATTTTTAATTTTCAATTTTTGGTTTCTATTTCTTATTTTATTTTTAGAATAGGTACGACTTCAACCTCATGTTTTCTCCAATGCTAGGGTTGATTTTATTTAATAAATATTTTATTTCTATTAATGATAATTTTTTAATAAGAATAATTGCTAAATTTTCAAAAATTTGGCAAAGAATTTTATATAATTTTAAGAATAATTGAGTTTTGTAACATATTTACGATTTTTAGAATTAATTGAATTTTAGAAGAATTTTGTTAAAATTATGAAAAGCAGTTAATTTGGCGAAAAATTTGAAAAAAGAACTTTCAAAAATCAATAAGTTTGATTTAAGGAAAAGTCCCATTTCAAAATATTTACAAGAAAGTTCTATATTTATTTTTGATTAAAAAATATGAAAAAGGTGAAAAAATAGCAAAATCAAATTAATCGTAAAAGGCATTGTAAAAATTATGAATTTTGTTTGTTTGTTTTTCTTTTGTGTTTTATTGATTTTTTTTTACATATCATACAATGGAAATGATACTGAAGTTGCTGGAACAGTGGACATTTGTGGAGTTTTTTTTTTTTTTTTTTTTATTTGTTTTGTTTACTGTAAAACCCAGCACCTTAAGTTTAGCCTGCATAAAATATCTTTGTCAGTGCTGTCGAACAATCAACTTCTTAGAATAAAATCGTTATTGACTTTAAAACACGATAAACATTAATAATCTCGTGACGCTCTCTTTCTCTCTCACTCTCTCTTAAATACTGAATTAATTATAGATATTTGGAAAATTTAAAAAGCAATTTTTTTTTTCGTCGAACAGCACTGAACTGCATTATGTCAACATTGTATAATCTTTTTAACGCCTACATTTAATTTCTGTTACGTTTATAGAATATAATAATATAGTACAATATCTAATATTCCACGATTTATGCTTTTTTTCATTTGAAAGCTGTCTTGTCGTCTCAGCGAATTATTTTTCGCAACACCAAGGCCATGTGTTTAATCAAAAATTAATTATACATATTACTTATCGTATATCTTGAAACGATTTGAGAGCTTTCAATAAATGATATATATATATATATACTTTTGTAATATACATTGTAGATATCTCGCAAATTTTGCGTAACAATCCACACTGATGATTTTTCTTTTTATTTATCAAACCAAAAAATTCCCAGATTTCACAAAAGTAAAAATTTACTAACAAATGGTTTCTTTTTTCTTTCTCTTTTATATTTTTAGCAAGAGGAATATATTCGGAAACACATTTTCGGCAGATGATATTTGCGTTTAGGGGGTGTTCCATTTTATTGTCTCACTATTTGTCAATATATATTTTATTAATACTCTGCGAAAAATGAGACTTGATAAATAATCGAAAAATTAGAGTGATTTGAAAAAGAAAATTTATCAGAGATTATTTCTATATACAATAATTCGATGTAGAATACTAATTAGTCAAAATATGACCGATATATATGTTCAATCAATTAAATAAACTGAACAAAGGAAATAATAGTAGTCCCACAAATTTCATTCTTTCTTTTACTTTCTCTCCCTCTCTCTCTTTCTTTCTCTTCCAGCGAGTTTTAGTACAGGGACAGCGACTATTAAAAATTATTTCTCGTTTTTTTCCGACTTAAAAAAAAGAAAGGTCTCGAAAAAAAAATCCGGGAATCAAATACTTATTAGTTTGCCAATAAAATATATTGCATTGGGAATGTACTAAAAATTGTGCAGCAGAGCGTGCACTTGATGCACTTTTTTTCAAAATCTACCTCGAGGCGATTCACTTTGATTATTAATCGAGGGATTTCAAAAAATTAAAATTATAGAATGATTTTTTTCTTTTTTTTTTACGTTTTTTTCACTTTCTCTCTTTTGTTTTCTATGCACAGCATATTGCATACTTGGAACATCCCCAAACGATTGAAATTGGAACGTTCCTAATTGAATGGGAACCGAGACAATAGATTAATAATAATAATAACAAATAATTCACTTAAAGAGAGTGAAGAATTAATCTTCTAGATTTCTGAATGCCTGTTGAATATCTTCGTGAAGCTGATCGAAGTCTGCTCTGATTTTAGACTCACCATCTTTTACAGGATCCTGAAAAAATTGTTATTTATTGTTTTTTTCTGATTTATTTATGATTTATAATACAGTGGGTTTTTTGTTCAACTTTAGATTGAAATAAAATAGGGGATTTTTTTCAAAAAAAAAAAAAAAAAAAAAAGGATATTTTGAAAATCTATAAAATAATTTTAAATAGTTCAAATTTGTATTAGATCCATTTTCTTGAGAGACTTTTGGTCATTTTACTTATGGTAAAAAAAAAATTTTTCGGTAATTTTGTGACGTTGAATTCCGAATTTTTAAAATTTCTACATTGGTGGAATTTTGCAGAGTAAACTTTATATTGAACCAAATTTTTATATCAAAGAATTTTTATTTAACTAAATTATTATTTAAAGGAATTTTTATTTAACCGAATTTTTTATGTCAGATTCTATAATTTACTGAACAATAATTTAATAAAAAATTTTATTCATTATATTCAAACGAATTTGTAAGTAATCTGAATTTTTTTTAACCGAATACTTATCCTACGAAATTTACATTTAACAAAGTTTCTATTTAACAGTAATTTTTTAAGACAAATTCTTTAGTTTGCTCAATTTTAAATTAACAAAATTTAAATATTAAAGGAGTTTCTATTAAACAGAACCAGCAGAACTTTATTTAACGGAATTATTTATTTTAAGGAGATTTAACCAATTAATATATGCCCAATATAAACAAATTATATATTTGTTTTTAAAAACAAATAAAATATAATTAAAATTTATTTCATTAAATTTTTAAAAATGTAAAATTACAAAAAAAAATTTTTTTAACGAAAATTTATTGTTAAACAGATAATAATTATTTATAACTTTTCTATTTAAAGTTAATAAATGATTATAATTTTATCCAATTTTTATAAACAATTGCTGAATTTGTTCATTGAAAAATTCTCTACAATTCTGTTTGTTAAATATTTTAATAATGTTTTGTTTATTTTTAAACAAAATATTATTTAACAAAAACTAACAAACAGAATTGTAGAAAATGTTTTAAATTGATTTTTTTTATGTTCTACGTCTTTTAAAAATCAGAAAAAATGTTAAAAAACAATTACAACTCTAAGGAATCAAAATCTGTTGAAAAAATTTACTAGCAATTATTTTAAAAGTTGTGATAAAAATTATATAACTCGGTTTAGTGTCATAAACTTTGAATACTAATATTACTTCCTTTTTTTAAATAATAAGAAAAATTCAAAAATACTAATATTAATTCGTTTTTTAAAATAATAAAAAAATTTGAAAAAATACCTTGAACTTCATGGAACTGAGTTGATAAAGTATATTGCCCATACTATCTCTAATGACATTCCATGTGATTTTGTTATCCGACTGAGCAGTGGATTCCACGGCGTGCCTTGACATATCATAAAATGCAATCATGTTACGTAACATGCCCACAGTTTTGTAGAACGGACAGAATCGATCGTACGGTGAGTAACTATAACAAAATTATATTCAATTTTATTTTTAAAAATAGTCAAAATCAACAATTCCTTTCTTTTCTTCTTCATAAATTAAATTGTTTTTTTTTATTTGATAAATAGAAAAAAAAATTAAACAAGTATGAAATTCAGAAGTTTAACATTTAGATTGCATTTTTTTGTGTGTGTGAAACAAACCTGTTTTGTTGGAGAAAATCATCTTTGAGAAGTTTTGCAACTTCAAGTGTAATTTTGTCTCCTTCGGCAAGAGAAGCTTTACCAACCAATTGTACAATTTCTGATAAATCTTCTTCCTCTTGAAGAATTTCTTTAACTTTCGTCCTAAGGGGAACGAATTCCTGGAAGTTCTTGTCATAAAAATCATCCAAAGCACGAAGATATTTACTGTAGGAAATCAACCAATTAATGGAAGGGAAATGTTTGCGTTGAGCAAGTTTCTTATCTAAACCCCAAAATACCTGAAAAAATTATTTTATATTCAATTATATATTAATTATTACAATGTGTAATTTTTTTAAAATAAATCATTTTATAAAGCACAACTTACTTGAACAATACCAAGAGTAGCGCTCGTAACAGGATCAGAGAAGTCACCACCGGGTGGAGAAACAGCTCCGACAATACTGACTGAACCTTCACGATCTGGATTTCCTAAACATTTAACTCTGGAAGAAAATTTTTTTTTAATTATTATAACAGCGACAAGGAATTGATTAAATAAAAATTTTTGTCATTGGCATTTAAAAAACTTCGTTTAAAATACCTTCCAGCTCTTTCGTAGAAACTGGCGAGTCGAGCACCCAAATAAGCTGGATAACCGGAATCGGCAGGCATTTCTGCCAAACGTCCGGAAATTTCACGAAGAGCTTCGGCCCAACGTGATGTAGAATCTGCCATCATTGATACATTATAACCCATATCTCTGAAGTATTCGGAAAGAGTGATACCTAAAACAAGAAGAAAGGATTTTTAAGATCAATTTTCTTTTCTCATTAATTTATTTAAAATAATGATTTAATTTTTCGAAGAATATTGAATAAACAAGATATAGAATTTTAGGCCTCGAACCGTTTTCGATATTAAAAATTACGTATTTTACGTATCAAAGAAGAAAAAAAATTATTGACCAATTTATGTACTAAAATTTCATTTATATTTCTAAAAAAATTTTAAATTAAATTAATTCAAAATTAAATTTTTTAAAATTTTGCTTGCTTTATTATATAAATATGCAATAAATAAAAAAAGTTACATTTTGTCAAAATTACGGACTTTTACGTAAAAATTTAAAAATTTGATAATTTTTCTTAATTTGTGTACTTGGTTCGCGGCCTGCTGAATTTAGGTATAAATGAAAAATAAAATCTTACCAGTGTAAATGGAAGCTTCACGAGCAGCTACAGGCATGTTTGATGTATTTGCGACCAAAGCGGTACGTTTCATAATAGATTCGGTCACTCCATCAATTTCGACAGTAAGTTCAGGGAAATCACGCAATACTTCAGACATTTCATTACCACGTTCTCCACAACCAACATAAATAATTACATCAGAATTGGAGTATTTGGAAAGTGCTTGAGAAATTACAGTTTTTCCACAACCAAAAGCACCAGGAATTGCAGTTGTTCCACCCTGAACACAACTAGATAAAAATAAAAAGAATATTACTTCTAAATTATCCATTTCGAAGTGTTGATAAATTACAAATTTTACATTTATAATAATTAATTCTACAAAAAAATAATTATGAAATATTTAGAAATGATAACAAAAATATTAGGAATTTTAAGAATGAAATTTTACATCTACAATATTCAATTCTACAAAGAATAAATATTGACTAGGAAATATTTGGGAATGATAAAAAAATATTATGAATCTAACAAATGTTATAATAAGGAGAAAAATATCTACAATTTCAAGTCCTTTGACAATTATTTTAAATAATTTTTAAATATGTAGAAAATAAATCTTACGGGAATAAAGAATCCAAAACTCGTTGTCCAGTAAGTAGAGGATGATTGGCAGGTAATTTTTCTGTCACTGGTCGTGGTTGACGTACAGGCCATACCTGCGAATTAAATAATATAGGCATTAATATTATTGTACATGCAATGCAATTATCACAGCGAAGTTAAAAATAAATAATTAACAAAATTTATTATTTATAACAGATTCATTGACAATTTCAAGATTTTTGACAATCAAAGCCTGCTTTTTTATATAAAAAAAACTATAATTTAAATAATAAATAAAATTTTAATTGTTCTTACCTGCAGCATAGTATATTTTTGTCTCTCGCCATCAAATTCAGTTTCCAAAACAATATCCTGAAAAAAATTAATAAATTAATTAATGCTATCGAATTAATTGCGAAAAATTAATTATTTGAATACAATTTAAAGGGGATGATAAAATCAATAGAAATGAACTCACATCAACGGTGTAATTTCCAGCAGGTGCAATATAGGTGACGGTACCTTTGCTCTTTGGTGGCAAAATCATTTTATGTTTGACGAGTGTATTCTCGTGAACGATTGCATATAAATCACCTCCAGTAATATGACTTCCATTTTTAATATTGAGTGGATTAAATTCCCAGGAAGCCGTGCGCGATAAAGCTGGAACATTCACACCTTTTGGGATGTAAATTGAACTTGTGAGTTCATTAATGTCCTTCAAGGGACGTTGAATACCATCAAAAATACTGCCCAAAATTCCAGGTCCCAATTCAACAGAAAGAGGTTTTCCAGTTCTTAAAACTGGATCACCCACAGTGACACCGCTTGTTTCTTCGTATACCTAATTTTAAAAAATATTTAAATTAAACATTTTTTTCAAATTTCAAAAATTTGTCGTTTCCAAAAACTAAGTTGTAAATAGAGACGTATGAATAAGCTCGAAAACTAATTTGTTAGACATTTAAATTGACATAATTTCTTTACTTAGAATTTACTTTTAACCAAATTTTTATTTCTTCGAATTATTATTTAACAGAATGCGTCAATTTTTTTTTCTAGAATTATTTAAGATAAAAAATTATTATATATTATTAAAATTAAATTTAAAAATATTTTTGACTATTCTAAAAATTTTGTTCAATAAATTAAAATTTTTTCAAAATCTATACGATTGATTATTTAGAATCATGAAAAAAAAATATAAAAAATATTGAAAATAAGAAAAATTGTAAGTTGAATTTTTAAAAAATCACCAGTAAAATTTAAACCAATCAAACTTGACCTGGTTTAAAGAGGACAATTTTTTCAGAACCTAAATATGAAAAATTAAGAAAAGTAATTTTTATCCATTTTATAACTTTTTTTTAAGTTTTGAAAAAAATTTAACATTTGTAGGGCATTTTTATTATATAAACATTTAGACCTTAAAGATAAAAATTAAAATACGTTTTTTTTTTAAAAAGAGATAAATTAATTTGTTTTCTCTAAAAATTGTTTAAATATTGTTATTTTCTAAAAAAATTTTTTTTAATATTCTTACTTGAATAGTGGCCATATCTCCTTCCAATCGAATAATTTCTCCCACTAGTTCATAATAACCGACACGAACCAGTTCGTACATAGCAGATCCGGACATTTTTTCCGCGGTAACCACTGTAAATAATTAATAATTAGTAATGAAGGAAAACACTCAAAAAAAGTTAATTAAATAAAAATAAAAAGAATTAAAAAAAGGAAATTTTAAATATTTATTTTATTATAATTTGAACAAATTTTTGAAATGTGTTTTAAATTTCTTACCGGGTCCGGATACTGCGTAAACATAACCGAAGTTTGATTCCTTGTCTTCATTCCTTATCTTTGGTAAAGTCATTTTGTTTGTTCACTATAAAACAAAAAAAAAAAATTAGAAATAGTTTACATTACCCATATTTATATATCTTATTCAGAAATGAATTTGAAATAAATTAGAAATAAACAATGAAGTAAATGAAGAACGAAAAAATGTTTTCCAAATGCCCATTAGAAAAGACATATATTTAAAAACCTATTAAAAAAAATATAATTGTTTTCTTTATAGAAAAAAACTGATGCTCCACCTGTTGATGACAATATCTTGAAAAAATGTTCTTTAAATTAAAAATAACAAATTTCGAAAAATAAAGTTTAATTAAAATTTTTTTAATTATAATGTAAAATGAAAAACAAATAAACCTCACTATATTATCAAGTTCTCAGAACTTGTCAATTATTGTAATTTTTCTAATTTTTATATAAGGCGTAAATAAAACAAAAGTGAATCACAGGAAAGATTTTTAATTAATATTTTTTTATTAATTTAATCATATTTAATAATCATACAAAAATTAAATAAATAAAGTTCTAAAATTACAAGTTTAGAGAAAAATTAATAATTTAGATTTAATACGTGTACAGAACAGTAAATATTTCGTCAAACAGACACAGATATAAATTCTCAAAAGTAAAATATTTGTTTAAAAACGTAAAAAAAACATTTTAGAGCTCATTACCAGGGATTCACGTGAGCGTTCAAGCCGTTCAAAAAATAGGCGTAGCCCTTTTAAATACCGAAACGTCTGTGTTATAATTCACTTTTTATCAAATTATTTCTGACAAAATTAATACAACACTAAAATTCGCGTATCATTTAAGTGATATTAATGAAATTAAATATCCTCTCACAACAAAACAGTATCAATTTTAAAGACCATTTATATCAAAGACGATGGCGCAGAGTAAACTCGATCGATACTGTATAGTGCGTGTATATGTCAATACCATTGTTAATTTACCAAGTTTTTGAATACAAAATTATCGCGATGATTTTATAGTATTTATAAAAAAGCACAATATTAATGAAAAAAAGTAAATATTAAATTTAATATGTTGAAAAAACTTACAGTGATGTTAAACGTACTGTTACAAGTCCACCCAACAATTCAACAACTAGAGACGAGTTGACTGCTATCATAAGACAGGTCAGCTGACTGCACGTGGTGTCTGCGTACAACCAATCAAATTTCTCGCCCTTCCAATTGTGTAAATTGACCTTAAAACTAACTGGCGGGAAATTCAAATCTCAAAAAAAAACCAAGTGTAATTAAGTAATTCTTTTTTTTCCAGTTTAGTTAAAAATATTTATTATTACTATCAGTCGTAAGGTAAAATTTTTAATTTTCGAATAATTAAAAAAATAAATTTAATTCGTTCAATAGTTTTAAATTACAAAACAAATATTATTTTTCTGTAATTGGCATTTGTATAATAATTTACAAGTCTAATTATAAATTAACTTTGGATCCTTAGATATTAATACCTAATAATAATAATTTATTATAATATATAGTAATACTACATAATATATAATACAATACTAAATAAAAAAAAATTTATATGTTAAAAAATTAGTTAATTAATAATAATTGGAATTAAAATTATAGTAATTTAATAATTCCAATATTGTAAGTAATTCTCATTCAAAATGTAATATAATTTTATTATCTATTTTTTAAAAATAAATATTACATAAGAATTTTATTGATTTTTTTTCTTTTTTATTTGTATATTTATATATTGCGTAGATATTTTTTTGTTGAAGATTCTATATTTTTAATTTACATAATAAAAATTCTCATTAAGAAGTTTCTTTTCTGTAATGACTTCTCCTTTCATAATTGCATGACTTCAAAGAAGAGAAAAAGCCATTAAAATTTTCTTTGTAGTCGCTATTCGTTATATATATACTACTACTACTCATAAAACTTTTTTCCATAAAAATAATACTCTTATTTTGATATATATTTCCGTTTATTTTTAAGTTTTATAATGCATTTTATGAATTTTTTATTTTCGCCATTTTCTTTTAGGAGCTTAAAGTTCACTTTTCTTCATGAAGAGATGGTGATTCTCCTAAAACTGGTCATTTTCGGGAGAGAATTTTTTTTTTTAAGTAACTGAAATTTTTTTTTATTAATTTCTATTTATTTTCATCAAACACAGTATTTTAGATTTTCAGTATAATTATTGTTTCAAAATTTTTAATCCGTTAAATTTTATAATAAGAAGAAAAATGCTATGTAGTACCAGTATTAGCCGGAAGTGCGTAATAAGTAAATTCTTGTACAAATAACTTTTGCGCATCTTCGTGCGCAACTTGTTCTGTATCATAACCTGCAATTATTATTGTTTTGATGTTTTCGTGATTCTGTATAAACATGTAAAAATTGTATGTAAATACTTGTTTAAGTTTATAAATAAAATAATAAAGTAAACCTACTTAATGTAAAAGAAAGATTAAAAAATATATACGACAGTTGTCATTATAGAATAAGCGTAATTTTTTGGCAACTATGAAGTTAAAAGTTTAATATTAACAAAATTAATTTTTGTATTAAACCAAGTCCACTTCTGGGCCGAAAGGCTGAAGCTTAATTAATAACATTAATTCAATTACCTATTACAAACAATTTTATTAATTAAATATATTATTTCTTTATTTAATTATTTCCTTTTAATATTATTTAATTAAACTGACGGATTATTTGAAAATAATAATAATAATATAATGTTTGAAAAGACTATTATTAAATTTAAATGTTCGAATGTGTCTGTTCAATAAGCGTATTTATACATATTTCTTCTGTAATCAAGTTCGATGCTTTCAAAACTATGTTTTGCCTAAAGGCAAATTGCCTTTTGTCTGCTGACAAATATACGACCCTTTCAGTCGCGTGGATATAAATTTTACCCTTTGAAGCAAAAAAAAATATATAAAAAAAATAATAATCCCATAGAAAATGGTTCTCGAATAGTAAAATTAATATTCTTTTTTATTACATATATCAGAGTTTCTCTTATTTTTCCATGATAATGCAAGAAGCTTGTTTTTATATTTTAAACCGTTGTTATACAAAGCCTTTTTTTAAAGTCCATGCAAAGATATTCCAATCAATATTCAAATTGAGAAAAATTTAAAGAGTAATAATATGTAAGAGGTTTGCATGACTCCAAAAATTTGTGTTAGTCCGAAAACATTTTTTGGACACATTAAATTATTTACTGTTGCAAATATAAATAGAATACAATGTAAAAATAATTATTTCCATGAGAAAAAAATTACAAAGAGTTAAAAAATTATTACTATAAATAAAAAGTGAAACTTAACTTTTAAAAATTATTAATATAAAAAAAGGGCTACAAATAAAATATTAAAAAATGTTAGTAAAAGAAAATGTTCGTTTTCTTCAACTTCCGATTTGTATACAAGGGAATTTAAAAAAAATATTATCAAAATCATTAGATATTAGTCTAATCTTTAATGAAATCTTTTTTTTATCGTTTTTTCTTGCCTGAACTGAATAAGATCGCACAGTATAAAAACCAGAAAGTGTGTAGGTAAATATACCTTCATTGTTTCAATTTCATTGCATTCCTCAAGCAATATAAGAGCTCACAAAAAATAAATTAATTTTGAAAAAAATATTTACCATCATCTCCCTTATACATGTATAAGAAACAATTTAATTTTTTTTTAACATCAGTGTATAAATACAATAAATATTTTGATCTAAGTTTTAAATTAAAATTTTTATATCGTTTTCTTCTATAAAAATGAGATCAACTTTATAATTAAAATTTTTAACTTCAAAGGAAAAATTAATTAATATATTCCGCATCAAAAACGTAATTGATATATTAAAAGTTTCGAGTAAAATCTAAATAAACTTTTTACATAATACGCAAAACATAAATGATATATATGTACGAATATATTTATTCCCGTATTTTCATATTCACATTATGAAAATTGATGTATATGTTAATATTAACTTAAATTTTCCTAACTTTAAATTATAATAAAAAAACCTCTCATTTAAAAATTCAGCTAAGTAGAATTTCTATTAAATGACAAATCTATTAAATAAAAATTAGGTCAAATATAAATTTTCTTTATTAAAAGATTTGTTGAATAAGAATTTTGTTAAATAAAAATTATACGTTAAATGTAAATTCAATTTATGAAAAATATTCTCAAGTGAATATTTGAATAAATAGAAATTCAAAAAAAAAAATAATTCTGTTAAGTAAAAATAATTTTTTATGAAAATTTTTCTATAAATAAATTAAAGAATTCAAAAATTCCGTCAGGCCTAATGTGGGGAATATCGAACTGCTTATTTTTTTCATTGATTAACTAAACAAAAATTGAGAAAATTAATAATTTATAGTTAACAAGAAATATAATAATTTGCCATGTATATGTTAATTAATATTGTAAGTAATTTGAGGATCTAATATGTCACATTTATGACCTTCGAAAACCCTGTCAATTAAAAGCAATGATAATGAAGATAAAGCACGTCTTCACTTACAAACTTATTAACACAGCATATATTAAATCAAGATTATTATTATACATAAATTTTAAAAAGTTTCAAATCTTTATTTTTAACTTTCTTATATTCATAATTACAAAAGGGTAAGAAAAATTAATAATTCATAATAATAGTTTTCTATGTATTAGCATTTATTTATTTTTTAATTTAATGCGAAATATAGAATAAAAAATTTTTTATTAAAATATAATTGATACTGTAAGAAAATTTCAACAATAAAAGAAACTACCAATATGTAAACATGCAAGAAATTTAATTTTTAATTTAATTTATTATTTTTATTCGAACCAAATATAATTTAAATCAAAATTTAAATAAAACTATATTTGTCTCAATATGTATAATAACGCAATTTAATTCTTTGAAATAAAAATTCTGTTTGCCACAGATAAAAATTTTATTTGAACCAAATAAAATTTTATATTTGTCGCAAACAATAATTTTACTTGAATCAAATAAATATTTATGAAGCGGTTAAAGAAAGTATGTATTTCTTCTCTTTAGGTGTGTAATCAAAATTTTGAAGAAGATGTCAAAATAATAATTATATAATAGCTATGCACTTGTTATTTGGTATTATGTTATATATAAAATATGCAACATTTAATTAAAAAATTGAAAAATGTAACAAATATTCATTCATACAGTTGAAAAATTGTTGGAAAAATTAAAAAATACAAACTTTGAATTACAAAATATAACAATTCTTTTTGGCAGACTTGATACAATCATATTTTCTTTAAAATCAATTGTCGTACCCTTTTGGACGTCATAGAGAAATATCAGCCTACAGAGAATGCGGGTTTGGCACATCTCCAAAAAGTGAAATTGTGTCTCTCTGGCGCCCCAGATCAGCCTACTCGACAAATATATATAATATTAAGAAAAATCGATTCTCCAATTTATTTCCGGTCATTTTTTGATAAACTACAATTACCCTTGTTTTTAAATCAAAATATTTCAAACTATTTTTACAAATTTAAAAAAAAGAATACGTTTTTTTCTTGTCTTAAAAAAATATTCTTACAATTTTTTTCCCCTTGAGAATAATAATTTTGACTTTCAAATGTGTGTGTGAATATAAGTATAATATAAAAATTTTTTACTGCAGGTAATAAAAGTTTTTCTCAGTTTTTTCTTCCTATTTTTTAGATAAAAATGATGAAATAAAATTTAATCTTAGCTTAAAGATTAAAAGTAGAATTTATTTTTGCAGAGCTTGAACTCTATATTTAGTTTAACTAATGATAAAATGTTAGAAACTACTGAAGGGGGGTTGCATGAGGAGGGAGCTTTTTTCCTGCGACCCTGCCCCTGTCATTGTGATCACCCGTTTTACACGCGAGCACGTAGGCGCGAAATATTTTACAGGGGCAAGTGCAATAAAACTATCAGATTCTCGAGACAGGAAATATTCATGACTTGACCCTGACAATTGTAAATTCGTTTGTTTGCATATACGAAAGGTATATATTGTACGAATAATTAATTTCTAACGTGAAAACACATTAATTTCTGTTTTTATTTTTGATAATTTATATACGTACTTTTTAATTTTTTTATATAAGTGCCCGAATATAATTAATCATTTTTTGAGTAAAAACAATTGTTTATTTAAAAGATACAACAATAAATATTGAAAAAGTTTACTTTGAAACGTCTACACAAATAAAACTGGCTTAAGGGGCTGTGACGGTTGAAAAATAAGTTGTTTTTTGGGATAATATTTTTTAAAGAAAAGTTTTCTATCGAATGTTTTCAAACTTTACCAATATATTTTACTACAAATCAAAAATAAAAAAATTTTTTTAAGCCTAAATAGCTACATAGTAGGGACTTATCCCCTGCTTTGTAACGCTTCTAAAAAAAAGTCCTTCAACCGTACGTTGCCACGATTCCAGTCGATCCAGTCACTGAATTTATAAAATCGAAATATGCGGTTAGACTGTTAGGTATTCTGCGTAAAATGAACTGGGATATTTAACCAATATTGAAAATTGACAAAATCGCGGAGTTTTCAAAAAACGTCGTTTTTTCACCGAAAAAAAAATATTCTTGTATTCAGAGGAAAATTCCTCTTACAGAATCCTCTTGAATTTTATTCTTAAAACAAGAGTATTACTCTGTAAATAATAATATTTTCCTCTAATTTCAAGAGGATCGAAACAAAAGGACTATTCTAGAGCATTCCTCTTATATTCAGAATAATCTTTTTAGAATAAAAATAATACTCTTAGAATTTAGAATAATCTTCTATGTTTAAGAATATTCCTCTAAATTCTAAGAGGATTTTCCATAGAAAGTCGCTCATGCGAAAAGATGATTGCGTCATAAATCGCATATCATGCGTAAAAAAGTTTTAGTTTCTGTGTGAAAAAAGGGGAATTAAACAAAATGGATAATAATCTTTTAAATATCTTGATAGAGTTGCATCTTACACAATACGTGCCTATTTTTGAAGGTAAAAGAAATTTTTAAAAGTAATTTTTAAAAGTAATTTTTAAAAAAAATTTTTAAATTTTGAGGTTATGCTATTTAAAATTTTATTTTATTACGATTTTTATTTATTTTAATTTTATTTAAAATTTATTTTAAATAAATTTTCAAATTTAATGAATTATATGTTTTGCGCATAAAAATATTATTAAAAATAGATTTAGTTGATTTATTCAAAAAAATTAAAATCAAATTTATTATTTATACTCAAATAGATGTAAATCATGGAATAACAAATTTTATTCCTTTTAATTTTATAGATTATATCTATGACATACAAATTAGATGATTGCATTTTTATTATTTCAGACTTCTTTTTATGATGATATTTTCCTCTTAAAATAAGAGTATCCACTTAAATTAAGAGGAATAATTTTACTAGAG